TAGAATAATTTAAAATATGTTTCCCTCTGTATTTTTATGTATGCTTCCATTATTTCTGTATATAAATGCTAAGGTAATAACTGATTAATGTGCTAGTTATAAATTGCTCTAATTGTAATTATTATTTTATATGTAGTTTTTATAAGTAACTATTGTTAAGTTTTTTTTGAAAATATTTGAAAAGTAATTTTACTCAAATTAATTGTTAGTTTGAGCTGCATCCCCATTACTAGCTACTCTGCCATATTACTAAACAACTCAATTTGCAACTCCTTCAGTTTGTATCAGGCTTTCCTGTTAGCTAAATAAATGCAGAACTTATTTATAAAGTTGCTGATTCCAGGTTAAAGTTGTGTAACTGTCCCTGTCACAGAGTTGATTTGCAATCTAGTTTGATGTTTGACTTCAACTTATTAATATAATAGTGAGTTGAGTCAACTGTGACATCACCAAACATTGTTTGACAACTCACATAGCAAACTAGAGCCTCAGAATAGCCCAGACAGTAAACAGTTCAGGTCATCCTACTTTCCTCAGCCTAATAATTCACCCTTTCACAAATTCCATCAGCTGTGTTTAATGTTTTTGATTATGTTGTACAGGCATGTCTGACATTCAGACCTCCAAATAACACGTATACTGGGGTAGCAGTTTTAAGGCACTCATGGGTTAATTGCATATCAGATAATGCCACCAAACTGTAATCATTTATATACAATGCCACCAAACTGTAATCATTTATATACAAGCTGGGTTTTGCAGTAATCGGACAAGTTATTGACAAAAAATATCACAGCAAGATAAGTATATATGATTCAAATATATTATAGCTGAAAAGTGAAATAGACCTTTATTACTTATTAAGAAAGGGAAAACTTTTAAATGATTGAAGTCCCACTTAATCTATACTACTATATAAAGAGACAACATATTTTTTGTTTATGACCACTAACCATGAAAACTACTGAACCAATCGTTGCCAAATTTTAACTGTAGCATCTTTAGACCCCGGAATGTTTACCACTAATCAAACCTGCAGATTTTTTGTTAAACATTCATATAAATTAAAAGATATCATCTAGGGTTAAGGCTTTTATGTCCAACAGATGGCGCTACAAGTATGACGCCCTAAGTTTGCTTTTCTGTGAGGATGAACTAAAGATGATCATCTATCTATCTATATAAATAAAAATGTAATGTTCGTTTGTTCCTACCAATTCCTTTGAAATTTTCACACGATTTGAATACGCACGTGTTTTTTATAATATACATGTCGAAATTCCCCCCACTGGGGGGAGATGAACAGGATTAAGGCTTACCGTAAAGAACTCTGCTTCTATTATACTATTTTAGATGCGGGTTTTTGCGTTTTTGATTGCGTTTTAATAGGGTATGCCAAGAGAATGTACACTAAGAAGAAATTTTTCGAAAAATTCCCCCCCACACGGGGGAAGTGTTATACGTTTAGATACATTTTGAGCCACAACAATGCGTGGTGGGGTCTGCTAGTCTATTATATTTTCCAATGTGCAAAAATTTCATAATTTAAAAATAATATCATAGCATTATTTTTTCAATATTTTAATTCTTTCAATTGTGAAAAAGCAGGAATCTCTTATAATTACAATATTTTTACCTTTCTTTATAATCATTCATTTGCCAAAATGTCTGCCAAATGTGCTCTATTCTTGTAAACTGGAGATTTACAACTGCATCTAAAATATCCTATAAATAATATGTATTATCATTAATACAAAATATATAAAGTGCAAAAATAAACAGTTTAATAATACAGAACACTAAAATTGTAGATAAAACAAATAAAAATATATTTCATGGATATGAAATATATTTTTATTTGTTTGGGTCTAACCTAACCTTTGAAGTTGGATATTACAGTATTAACAAACCCCAAAATATTTTAAAATTGTTGAGATAAAAAATTATATAATATACAATTGAGATAAAGTATATACAATAGTACCATTACTTAATATAATCTGCAATAATATAAATTTTAATATGAAGTATTATTTGTATTACATGAATAGACAACTTGTATTTTTAAAATCTTCAAGAAAGAAATTACAGTAGATAGCAGGGCTGTGGAGTTTTGGCGTTTTAGCTGGAGTTGGAGTCGTCAAAAAATCCGCCGACTCCAACTCCTTTTTACTTACCAACTTGTTATGTATATAAAAATGGTAATCATGTCAAATTTGACCCTCCAAGTTGTTTTTTTTTGCAAATCTACACATTTGGAGACCTCCCAAACCCCTCAAAAAAGTCAATAAAAGGGGAAAAATTGTTTGTGTGTTGGCATCTAATTTGTTTAATTTCTTTATTTTCTATTCTGAGATATTAAACGATATCTCAGAATGGGTAAAGTTTAAGAAACTAAATGTGGCACTGCAGCTTGCATATAAAGAGGCATTAATACTATTAAATTTTGGTTCTTAATTAAAAGTCGACAGGGTGAAGACATAAAAGGGGTCATGTGTCATATCTCTTAATGAATATTTTACTCGTTATTAGCATTCAAAATTTAAAAAAAAAAAATAAAACTCATCTCTACCCTCAAAGAAAGCTTTTTTGCCATTTTATAATAGCACAGTAAAACCCGTTAAGATGTTCTCGCCTAAGATGTTAGAATGTGTATGGAGACATGATTTAGTTCAACCACTTTGACGCTTAATAACTAACTCCAATTCTGACCACTTTGACCACAGAAATTATTAGGCTTCAAACAGGGTGAACAAAATCATGCCCCCCACACTGTCTAACATCCACACATATAGAAAAAACCTCGAATCTTTTGCTTAATTAACTCAAAATTTCAAGGTGTTCTGAGTCCAAAAATGTAAAAATTTGGGAGAGGTCATTTTTTGACCGAGCGCTACACTTTGTTATATATCCTCTGTTATATATAACAGCCGGAAAAGTAAAAATTATTGAATACATATTTATATATTACTCAGAGGAGTCTTTTAGCTTTGAAATAAGAAGTTTCTACGTTCTATCTTTATTAGAGCTCTATTTATTAAATCTTTTATTCTGAGGTCACGTAATGACATCAGAATTTCCAGGTCTCTTTCGGTAACTAGTCCACCCCTGATCAGAGTCGGATGGTAAGGAAAAGTCAGAGTCAGTAGATTTTTACACGACTCCACAGCCCTGGTAGATAAGTAGATTGAAATGTAGTGATTTAAAATTTTTCTTTACAGTCATATATAGATAGAGCAGATGTGAGAAGAGCAGGGGTTACAAATTTACTGACTTCTTTTTACTACCAGTAAAATATGTAGATTTTTAAAATATTACTGTTTTATTAGTATTTTTAATTTTTATTTTTACTGTTTTTAATTTTTGACTCTGCAAAAATTACTACAGTATTGATTGCTTGACTCCAATTCCAAAATTAGTACAGTATTGATTGTTCAGTTCCTGACTCACAGAAAGGTCAACAAATAAGAAATCACCAATTCAATTCCCTTGTTCTACTCTGAAAGGTAACAGTTTTGCTGCCTGAGTAATAGGGGGGCATGTTGTGATTAAAAACCAGTGCACACATTCAAATACATGTTCTATTTTGTCAATTAAAATCATTATTGTGCTCTAGACATTAAAAGTAAATAAAGTAATTGCCAAACTGTCCAGCATAGTGTAATGTGGTATTTTAAACACTGAAAGAACTGTAAAATAAATTAATAATTTAAATGGTAAAAGTAGTTCACATCAAGACACACATTAAAGACATTTGATATTTCTATTAAAAATGTAAATATATGTAAATGTCTATAAATATTTGGCTTCCAAAAATTATTACATGTCTACTTTTTTTTTTTTTAATCAAATTGTACCAGTAATTTATATACTTTTTACTGGTAATTTATTGATGCATTTTAACTGATTTACCAGTAATGCAATCTCTAGGATAGAGCGTGTTTAATTTTAATGGTTCCTCAAAAGATTAATGCCAAAGTTTTCAAAAAATTTACTGTATTTTCTTGATTCTAATGCACACCATTTTTTCAACTTTTCTGGTCTCAAAAATTCAGGTTTACATTAGAATTCATGTGCACATTGAATCAGGCACAAAGTTGACTTAATTTCAATGTATTACAATGTTGGTACCCATCCCTCCTATTACTTCAGATTTGATTTTAAAATGGTCTTTTGAACTACAGCAAATGAATCTGTAAAGCTGTGTTTAAGCACAGAGTTATCCACTATGCTAAAGAACATGTATACAGATATTTAAATGTGATACTACATATCTGGTAAATTTCATGCTTGTACCAACTAATATGAAATCTCACTGCTAAAATATTGATCATATAGTATTGATCCACAGATCCTCTGTATCTGATAATGAAGTCATAAATGAATACATTCAGAAATATGGACATCACAAAGCACTGTAAATATGAAAATGTACTTAAACAGTAATAAATGCATTTTTTAAAAAACATTTTAACTTTTTGCAGCTGCATTTTTGATATATGATGTGCATTACATTTGCAAGCTAACTGTTTAAGGTATATACATATTACAAATATATAGACGTCTCAAAACTTAATATAAACCAAACTACTACTGGATTACATTGGGCTATTTTTCCATAATTATACTAAATTATTAAATTTAATAAGAGATGGCACCTAACACCTCCCTCTAGTGACAAAATATTTAACAATTAATTAAAGATAATCAAGGAAAAGTAACCAATGTAGTCCAGTAATTGTTTGGGTTTTCACATGTTGAAAATCAGGTCACGTCAGAATCAAGAAAACACAGTATCTTCCAGAAAGTTCCTTAACAATGATAAAAAAAATTAAATGCTTTATAGAAATAGAAAATTAAACTGACTTTATTTTCATTAACTCAGGTTAAATGAGAATAAATAAAATACAGTAATACCCTGAACTTATGCGATAGGTGGGACCGAGCGATAACCGCGTAAGTCAAATTCGCGTAAATCGGGGTATAATTTCCCATTTTCTGTAAAATCCAAGTCGGATGTATGTAAGCTAATAAATGTTCTTGTTAATTTTATCTCGTCTTTTGATTCGTTCACGGTTACAAGAAATCACCACATAAAGTCTCTTAAGTCTCCATAGATATAACAAACACAGAAATAAATAACACAAAATAAATTGTAGCTATGTGTCGATTCCACACGACATGTCCGAACATGTAATCTGAACAACAGTGTGGGTGGAGTGAGTAATCGAGAGTTGCATGGCACTCAAACAAAAGACGAATCGACGAGATTTGAAAATCACGTAAGTTGAGGTATTACTATATATAAATTCAAATACAAAATTAACAGAAGAATTATAACAAAATATATATATTTAGAAGATAGATATATTTAGAATTATTTTATGTTATATAATATTATATCTGATTATTATTTTATGTTCTATACATGTATAAATATAATATAAAATAATAATCAAATATAATATTATATATCATATATAAAATACCAAACATGTAAAAAACCAAGGCATAAGTTAGGAGTTCTTAAAAAGCTTTTTAACTAAATACTTCCATGCTGATGGTAGCACTTCTGCATCCCTTGCATTAATGCACATATCTTGTAGCTTGCCTTTATAAATTTCAATCTTTTCTGCGTTCATTGCTAAAGTCAGTGAGTGCAAGGACTTAACAATATCTGCTTCCTCCCATATTACTATGGAGCCTTCAGCCTGCACCATCTGAGACAATACTATGGTGTTGGATCCCTTATTGACATTATATTTGTGCTCCTTCAGCCTGATTCCCAAATTTCTTGTAGTAACACCAATATAGTTTTTCTTGATTCCTAACTGCATGTTTTTGTAAGGAATCCTGTACACTCCTGCTTTTCCTTCTTTATTAATGCTGTCCTTGTCATTTCTTAATAACATATAGAGGTTCAGAGCTCTTTTCAATATCATTTTGTACTTTTTACAGTCCAAAATTTTTCATGGTGGCTTTCATACTTCTATTGTATGTGAACTTTGTGATTTTGCCAACATTACCACATGAGTCTTTGTTGTGCCCATTTTGTAGCTTCTAATCATTCCTGTTATTGTATCTTCTCTGTATCCTAGAGTTCTGGCCACCTGCAATATTCTGTTGATCTCCTTATGTCTATCAACTACACTACTACAATATAGAAAGGCCCTTCTAATGAGAGCTTGGAACAGAGCCAGTTTATATTGGTAAGGATCAATTGAGTGTGACAGGATGTAAAGTGAGCTATGTGTCATCCCAATGAAGATCAAAGAGTTCTGAAACAAGGACCTAACTTTGTCCCAGAAAATTTGGAACCTTGGGAAACCTCGATTCAAGAAAGTGAAAGACGGATCACCTGGCTCTATTCATTACAAAAAGAATACTTAAGATGTAAAACCATCATTAAAGACCAGGCAGGTTGGAGAAAAGGAAACAATACAAACAAAGACATCAAACTTACTAAATGTTGGCTGAGGAAAAATTATTTGGTTGCAACAAGGGCAGACAAAAGCAAGATGGTTATCATGAGAAGACAAACTTATAACAAAGCTTTGGAAGATTACATTAAAAAACAGAGTGCGAACAGGTTGACACAAAAATTATCAAGAACATCGAGAGAAAGGTAAAAAAACTTGAAAGAACAAGGCTTACTGTGTTTCCTTAGAAATTATCGGAATCCAAGGCCTGGAATGCTGAGATTATTTGCGTTTTCCAAAACCCACAAGGAAGGTAAAGAAGTAAGGCCTATAGTAGAAAAGTGCAGGGGACCAAAAGTTATATAAATTTCTCACCTCTCAGCTGGAGAATAGTGTATTGGTGGCACAGGATCTTGGAGTTGTGGTTAAAGAGATACAAGATCTAGTGTTAATGGACGATGAGGTGGGGACTGCATTGGACTATGAAAGCTTACATCCTCCTATTAAAATCAAATCCTGCATGGAAGCACTTTTAGAATTCACGCTCAACAAGAACCTGATTTGATTCATTACACTAATGAGGTGGTACAGCTGGCTAGTCTGGTATGTTATGAATCATGTTTCACCTTTAATGGCCAGCCATAAAGGCAAAAAAGAGGAGTCCCAATGGGAAGTCCGATATCAGGAATATTATGTGAGCTGGACACTAGAAGAAAGTGTTCTTTGTGATTTCAAGAAGGATATAGTATATTTTAAAAGATATGTAGACGATGTCTTTGTACTATGGAGGAATGACCAAAAAATCAATGAGTTTATTGGTAAGGTTAATAATTAAACAGAAAGATTCCTCAAGGTTACATTTTTTAGACATAAATATTGAATTCAAAGAAGGGCATTTGGTCACCAGTGTGTATGTCAAACCAACATATAACCCGCTTTACATCCCGTTACACTCGAATGATTCTTACCAATATACTGGCTGTGTTCCAAGCTCTCATTAGAAGGGCCTTTCTATATTTTAGTAGTATAGTTGATAGACAGAAGGAGATCAACAGAATATTGCAGGTGGCCAGAACTGTAGGATACAGAGCAGATATGATAACAGGAATGATTAGAAGCTACAAAATGGGCACAGCAAAGACTCCATTTGGTGATGTTGGAAAAATCACAAAGTTCACATACAATAAAAGTACAAAAGCCATAATGAAAGACATTTCGGACCGCAAAAAATACAAAATGATTTTAAAAAAAGCTCCGAACCTCTATATGATCAAAAATAACTATTTAAAACAATGAAGTCAGATTAATTTTCAATTCTTACTTAATTGTATTGTAGAAAAATACACAAAAAATAAAAATTTTTTTTCTTTCTGACTTACAGAAGGTAGATAACTTCCAAATTCTAAAACATTATATCAATAATGAAATAAAATTAAAGTTAAAAAAAAGGTAAAAATAAACCAACTTTGCAGAGAAAGAACATTTTATTACTTTGGTACATCTCCCAAATTCATTTCACCAACAATATTAGGCCTCTTCAGTAGGGTTTTCAGTACACAAATTAAATTCTGACAACTTTCCATCATGGGTTTCCATCTATACATCCAATTATTGATGTAATGTTTTAGAATTCGGAAGTCATCTACCCTCCGTAAGTCAGAAAGGAAAGAAAATTTGATTTTTTGTGTATTTTTCTCTATATGATATTAAGCAATGACAAGGACATCATTAATAAAGAAGGAAAAGCAGGAGTGTACAGGATTCCTTATGAAAACGTACAGTTAGGAATCAAGAAAAACTATATTGGTGTTACTACAAGAAATTTGGGAATCAGGCTGAAGGAGCACAAATATAATGTCAATAAGGGATCCAACACTACAGTATTGTATCAGATGGTAGGCTGAAGGCTCCATAGTAAAATGGGAGGAAGCAGATATTGTTAAGTCCTTGCACTCCCTGACTTTAGCAATGAGCGCAGAAAAGATTGAAATTTATAAAGGCAAGCTACAAGATATGTGCATTAATGCAAGGGATGCAGAAGTGCTACCATCAGCATGGAAGTATTTAGTTAAAAAGCTTTTTAAGAACTTCTAACATATGCCGTGGTTTTTTACATGTTTGGTATTTTATATATGATATATAATATTATATCGAATTATTATTTTATGTTATATTTATACATGTATATACGTATACATACATATATATAGTTGTAATTCTTATATAAATTCAAATACAAAATTAACAGATTTTATTTTTAGAACACCATTATTTTTTCTCATTTAACCTGAGGATTATGTTTAAATAAATTTTCTCTGCAACTTAAGGTGTAGTTGGTGGTGTATTATTTGCTGAGTATGTTTTGCCATTTATTATTTATAACATTTAAATTTTTATACCAGAAAAATTTTATAACTTAACATCATTAAGAACAAGTTAATCTAAAAAACAAAACAAAAGAAAGAAGTCTGGAGATAACTTTCAAACACAAAAAGTAATTTTATAGTCAACAACTATACAGTGATATCGTTACAGCTATAAATCAGAAAATATTTCTGTAATCTCTACATATTGTTTAGAGGTTTAAGAAGAATTGCTTTTATTGTTGCATTCAACAAATATCTGTTTTTTCAGTCATGAGCAGTGGTGATATTCAGTGGGTTTGCACAGGTTCGGCCGAACCCGTTGTTAACATTTTCAAAGTTTTCCAAACCCGTTGTTAAACACACACAACATTTCTCAGTGGTTTTGTTTCTTTTAAAAAATATATTAAAATATACGTATTATACTCTGTAACACTACTAAACTAGAGCCTTATACCCTGTTCGCCTAGTGCAACCTCCATCGACCGTTTCAATCTCGACTAAAACGAGGTTCAATCGCGATCGACTCGAGAGAGTTCTCGAAACTAGATCCAGTCATAAGAGAGATCCCACAATCCCACGCGCGCGAGAAAATACAAGATGGCTGCGGAACACGTGTCGGGCTATCAACAGCGAAATAAGAAAGATATTGTATTTCGAGAGACGATGACATCTGTCTATTATTATAATAATACCTAACGATAAAATAAATGATTTAGAAAAGTTTTTCTTGTTTAACTGCTTTCCGTATGACTTTTTCTGATTAAAAAAAAGCCAATTTTTATGTTTATAAAGTATTTTGAATGAAAAATATTAAAATATGTACAAAATAAACCATTTTGAACACTCTTTTTTATTATTTATAAAAAAAAATATAGTTCTGGCATAAACAATGTTAAATTTTAACTGACGCAAACACATCTTTTTTATTTATATGGGTATCTTAAGGTCTGTTTTTATGCTAATGTTGCTAATGCACCATTTGAGCGAAAAAAAAAATTGTTAAGGAAAAATTTTCGGTTAGCGAACCCTTTGTTAAATATTTCGAATATCACCACTGGTCATGAGATATGAATATCAGGATATTAACTTACAAATTCATAAACTCCACAGAGACTATGTATTAATCAAGTCGGTAGTTCCATATTTAGATGATAACTATTGAAACTTTAATTGTTTTTGACTTTATTATATAAAAAATATGAAAATCATTATTCTATTAAATATACATAGAATATTGAATGATAAGAAATTTCTTTAACGGAAAATTAGAATAAATCATTTAAATTTCTTTGTTGGCAATTTAATAGTCTGAATTCTAAAACTGCCATTTCTAATTTAAAAAAAAAAAATGTAATTAACTGTTCACGTAATTGATCTTACAACTATATTTTCATAATTATATTTTCGAATATGTGATAGAAAAAATTACATATATAAATTAATCATGAAAACTGAAATTTATTATAAAATAAATATACTGAAAATAAAAAGAGCATTTCTTATTTTATAATTTATAGTGTAAGAATTATTATAAAATATATTGTTATTATGGATAATTACTTCATAATGTTCTTTATATAATGACAAGAATTTATGAATTTCCTCCTCTTTAATTCTTCCCTTTTGCACAATACTCCCAACATCAATTTCTGGAAATACTGGAATTACTGTTGATGAATCTCCTAAATAATGCTGATATGACTGCTGCCTAGAATCTGTAGAATTATCAAACTGTTCAGACTTCATGGAATGCTGTTTACACCTAAAAATTTTAATTTTCTTATATTAAATTTATTGATCAGTTTTTACAAACTATAATTTATCATTTCTAAATAATACTATCATCAAATACTATTTTTAAACTTCTCACTAAATTTATATGTACAGTTGAACCTCATTAACACTCAGTGCAAATTACTTTTTATTGTAAACTATTTCCCATCAAATTCCATATGGATTACAGTACTTTTCATTTTTTTAACACATGTTTAACATAAAAATTTCATTTGAAATGAACTGATGATCATACCCATAGGAAAATTCTATCTCTCAATGCAAATTAAAATTTTTTTTTTTTTTAATTTTCTCAATCATGAGAGCTGGAGATTTAATAAAGGCAATCTTGTATTTGCATTGTTTAAAGTATATTGGTATGGGATAAAGAGTGAGAATACTTTGAAATTTATTGTTTATCTATTGAACATCCAAACAGCTATTCAATCTATGTTCTTTTAAACTATGAACCTCTTCATCCACAGAACAACTTCAGAAATAAATTCAGTTGCACTAAAGTAGCTAGACTGAGTGAAAAGTCATGAATTGGGTTAATTTTATGAGATCCTGTGACTGCTTTCACCCTATTCTTTTTAACATTGAATTATTTTTCAGAAAATTTCACTGTTTTTAAAACTAAATTATACTTTACAATTTTTCTTAAAACTACCTAGCAGGGCTCATTGTGACAGCTACTGTACATAAGTTAAATGATCACTACAGTGCTTATAAAGTTCAGCAAAGTTTGTCTTTGTTCAAAATTTCTAATTTGTTTCCTAAAGTGGATAATGACAAATTAAGAAAAAACAGAAATGGTAATAAAATATGGAATAGGGAAAAGTATGTTATCAATAATTAAAGAATTAAAAAAAAAATTGCGAATGGCAAAAATGAAGAAATAGAAATAGCAATTAAACATTTATGTAGTTCTTTGGCTAATATCAATAAGTTCTAGTGAAACCAAACTGCACATATTATATCTTATGAAAATGACGACAAGATTTGCAAATTACTTGTAATATGATCAACTTTTGAACATTGTGACTATTCATGTTAATTAGGTTCAACTGTACTTTGATTAAATATAAAAAAGAAGCAAACTTGAAAATTTGGTTTATCTATTTCTTTTTTGCTCATTCGCTCATAGATTTATGAGATCCTGATGCGAAGTTCCTATCAACAAAGTTTTTTCATTTTAATCAAATTAATTATAATCATTTGTTTATATTAAAAAATACCTGTAATAAACTCTGTAATGAAAGTTACAATGCTGATGGAATGGTCAAGTAATATACAGTATAAGTCAATGTACAAATAAAACTCATTGTAAAACAAACAGCAAAGACAGCAGACTTGTAATGAGAAAATGAGATATAAAAAAATCTTAAGAAATATATTGATAGTGAAAATTGTAATATAAAGCTACTCTGAAAGTAAGAATAGTAATAACAAACAATCCTTTACTTTTTATAACATGTCATAAAAAATCAATTAACTTTGAAGGGTGAAAATTCAATCTTCTATACATTTAATTGGTTAAATCTCCAGTGGTCTAGGAGCTCAAGATGTTCCATGCCTATTTTTGAAGTGTCTTCCATTCTACCTCAGCTTTCGCTTTGTTTCTTCTGTTCAGTTTTTTTTTTTTTCAAAATAAAAGCCAATTTTATGAGAAATTTCAAATAAATGCATGTTTATGTTTCTTTCAGCTTCAAATACCAAATATGACTATATGAGACACCACTATGTTTTAAAAGTGGAAATCACTAATATTAATAATTAGAGTTAATATATTATTTTTAATAATTCTTTATAATTAATCAGAATATTTACATTGATATATAATTTAATTTATAATTTCTTTTCATCTTTATTTTCATTAGTAATGAAATTTTTCTGGCAAAGTCCAAATATCAATATTATTATTCTTACAATAGCTTATCCATATTGTCATAAATAAATACATTTTCAGGTTATATTGTAAAAATAATGTAATGTAAATATATTGTCTAGTTCCAACAAATTTTAACTTAAAAATAATAAATGATTCTAACATATTTTTTAGAATTAATTATCAAATTTTTCAATATTTTATGATTTAATAAGAATAATTTAATGTTACAGAAATTATTAAAGGTTGAAAATATAAAGAAAATTATATAAAATAGGTTTGATCACTGCAATTAAAATATAATTATAATAACTGGTTATTAATTTGTTTCAATCAAATTACCAGATGATGATAATTAAAGTATCCCTATTCTATACTATATATACAGATATTTTAGCAATCCAAATGCAACCTAATCTGGTATGGTGGCATTTAAAATGTGCAGAAGAAATTTCCATAAAAAATTTGTTCTAAAACTCACCACTATGGCATTTTTGGCAATACAAGCAATGAAAAATCACATATGGCCACTTTTATACCTAGACATTATACCTACCAATACAACTGTTGAATGTCTTGCTTTCTGGCAAAGAAATAGCTTTGATGCCTATTGCCATAGTTTTACAGAATGACTGGCATACCAGTCTATCTGGGGTAGACCATGAAATCAGATATTTCTGTATGGAAAAACCAGCATGCTGGTTTAAGTGAGGTTATACATCCTTCTCTAGAGAGCGCATTAAAAAAAAATGAATGAGTTAAGTCATGTAAAAATGAATGAGATTTTATTCTAAAACCAGTAAAATGTAGGTTTTTGATGTATGTCAGCATTACATCAAAACCTACATGTTTTTGATGAAATGCTGACAGTTTTATGTGTTATGTGTTTAATTTGTACATTTTTGTCTTCTTTCTAATGATATAAAATACTCACAGAATTCTGAAAATGTTTTTTTTTTAATGCATATTTTATTATTTGATTCAAACATTCAAAAATAAACATATTAAATTTAAGAAATTTGCTGTAAATTATATCAGCTTATACCAATTAACATCTGCTTTGTGTAAAATTTGAGGGGAAGGTGTTATTTTTCACACTGACTGACTTACTACTACTACTGTCAATAAGTCATTAATTGTTTTATTGTCTTATAAACAAAAACTTTCTTTCTGATTTTAAGTCAGTCAAACTCATTGGCATAGCGTAGTGGGGGTGGCAAAATTTCACAATAAATAATAATAATAAAATTTGAAAAGTAAAAATTTGAACCATTCTAATCTATATTTGCATCATGCCGGACAGTCCGGGAATTGCTCACCATCTGGGTGAACTAGTAATTTCATCTGAGGATATCCTGCGCAACCTGTTGACCCCCCTTTTTTTTGCTTGTATAATTCATTCGTATTCATATACACCACCAATATCCAATAGAGCTATTTTAAACTGGTCGCTGCACTAGCATGGAATTTTTCATTGCTTGTTCTGTGACAAAACTGAATTTTAGTGTTTTAAATTGAGATACCTAAATAAGGGGGGGCGAAATTTTCCTCTGCCCTGGGCGGCTGACACCCATGCTACGCCACTGGTCAAACTACAATGTTATTATATAAAAATAAATTTGAAGACAGAGTCTGTCCAAAAGGAACCACCATTTATTCACTTTGTGTTCCAGACTACAAACTTTTTTGATAATCAACCTTTCTTTGTAGGTTGATTGGCCATCAAAATTAAAAAGTCCTTTAAAAAGAACAAAAAATATCCAATTAAAATTACAAAATTTAAAAATTAGAACTGGTGACATTACAGACATCTTTCTTTCCATCCTTACCATCTGGGGATGTTTGGGCTTCAATTCCTTGAGTCAGCCACTTTCATGCAAGATGGAGCATCTCCACATTATCAGACATTCAACAGTTTTTGCAATATTTTACTAAAAACAGTGATTAGTTTTGTATTTCCTACTGCCTGGCTATCTTGTTCTCCAGACCTTAATCTGTATGAATTTTGGTTGTGGGAACATTTAAAAAGTGTTGTTTATTGAGGACAAGTTGCAGATTTGGCAGCCTTGAAAGACAGTATCACACTGCATTTGAGAAGCATCACACAGGATCAATTACAGTCAGCTGTTGAACATACTTCATTACCTTCAGGTTTACACTTTCAGAATGGAGACCACATTGAGCAGTATCCCCTGCACCACTAAGGTCTCTGTATAGCATGAGTGTCTTGTACAATGTTTGTTGCTTGCAGTACCAAAAATGTCACAGTGGTAAGTTTTGGTACTAATTTTTTTAATGGAAATTTCTTCTGAATATCTTAATGTCACCATATCAGATTAGATTGTATTTGGATTGCTAAATATCTCTCTAGACAATAGAGGTACTTTAGTGATGATCCCTGGTACAATGTACTTCAAATATTTTTTATATTAAGAATAAACATATAAAATATCAATACTGTACTATTTCAAAATTTTCTAATAAAAAAATTTTTTTTACCTTCTCATTGGACTTATAGACTTTTGTCTTAAGGCAACTGATCCTACTTCACTTAACTGATTTAAGTTTGAACTAGCTTTGATTCTAATGCCATAATAATGATATTTTGAATTTCCTCTGAAAAAAAAAAAAAATCTTATAAAATGACATAAAATAATCTAATTGTAATTATACCCAATTCTATTTTTACATGGATTTGTTTTATACAACATAGATTTATAGGTTTGTATCCTAAAAATCCATGTAAATTTCAAGTGTTTTCTGTTAATTTTGAATAATTGCATTGTGCATGGACAACATACATTCCTTCTAGAATGTCCCTGATTTCATTTATTGAAGAAGTTTACATGAATAACATTCCATTTTTAAAATGGAAGCATTAAATGAATTCAACCAAATAAATGCAATTAGTAGATTTTATACTGAAAACTGATGGAAGTGAATGCATTGGGTATCACTATTTCACCAAAGAAGTGCTAGATACAGGGTTCCTACACACCTGGAAAGTCAGGGATTTTCATTAGTGTTCAGGAAAAGTCATGGAATTCAGGAAATTTGTTAAAAGTTGTCAAAAAGTTAGGGAATTTGCTTCCTTGGCTGTCTTGTTGACTTTTTGCTGACAATATGCTTGATTAAGTATAGCTGTCTACAGGCAGCAAGAAGTAGTGCAATACAACTTATGAAAAGGGGTGCAGAATATTTTCAGGACCCAAAATTTCTCCCAAGCTTACACAAATTTTTCCAAAAATTTATGAAGTACACAAAATGATAAATAGTTTAAATGGTATTATTTATCATTTTTCATTTTAATAATTTTGATTGCGTAACAAAACAATTTCTGATTTTTTTTCCAGTATATTAATATTTTTTAAAGTTCAGAAAATTTATTAAGAGATAAATTTAATATACACTTTTGTACATGGACTATATAGAATTTGTTAATGAATAATAAAAAATAATTGATTTTTTTTTCAAAGCCATATAGATTTATGATTTTGGATTAATAACAGAATTTTAATAATACATTTTATTTTTAATTTTAATAATTCTGCAATTATAAAAAACATAACTGTTAATTAGAAAAAATAACTAATTAAAATGTTTGAGAAACAAAGTATATATGCATAGTACGTCAAATGCTGTTTTGCTTTGTCAATGTGCCATACATAGGGAATTTGTACAAAGTTGGTCAGAGAAAGTCACTGAAAAATTTCAGTAGGAACTCTGTAGATATGGATCCTTCAAATGACATTCCATGCATTGATAAAAAACCAAAGCTTCTGGTTTGACTGCCAATCACTCCAAAAAGGTGTTTACAGACTTCCATTGCCCTGTTATCCAAAAGTATGTGGCAACAAATGCATTCAGAAAAGGCTGGTAACCATCCTAAAAAATACTACTCTTTCCAGACATGGTCACCACCCCCATTATGCTCATGACACAGTTCCAAGTTGGACCATTACGAAATTTGATACATCTCCCATGAAGCTAATGTTCCAAACATTCCATAACTGAAACTGATTGAGAGACTGGAGCATATGAATGAAGATGAAAAGTTTGTGAAAATGGTTGCAAAACTGGATCTGCAAAGGAGTTAGAGACAGAGTCAAGGCCAACAAGACCAAAATTTACTAGTTTTTTTGTCACTTCAAAACTTGTGGAGGTTAATGGAACAAGTTAAAACTAAAGTTCTAATTGTAGCTGATTGCAGTCCTGAACACCTCATCTGAATGTTAAACAATCTATCTATACTAGAGGATTTGATCCCGGGATCTCGAAAATCGGGATCCCGGGATCCCGACCACTTTTCAGTCCCAAAATTTTCGGGATTAAGTTTTCCTAATCCCGAGATTTTCGGGATTGACATCATTTTAAAAAAGTTGCAAAATAGACTGCATGAAGCGAAACGTTCAGTGCCAGTGCTTTTAACAGAATTGCTTGCCTATCATTTTAATATAAAATACAAGAAATTTTATTCCAAGCAAGCAGCAGAAATTAACCTAGCGGGCTTGCGATGCTTGCTTGGAATAAAACTTCTTGTATTTTCAACTAAAATGATAGGCAAGCAGTTCTCACTGGGTTACTTGGTAATATACTTCATTTTTGTATTTTTGAATTTTCGCGGGCGCCAATCGATTTTCTGGCGCAGTCGAGAGCACTACTCAGTGCGTTTTACCTGTCAATGTGTCAGCCATCTTGTTTTGCCAGTGTGGTTAATATAGACCCGACGCCTCTCGCTTAGGGGGGTCGACCTTAGGTGAAAAGGTTACGACCCCCGCCTTGCCCGTGATCTGTCAGGATGATGCGAGAAAGTCTTTTTACGTTTGGGAGTAGTGGTTTGCTGGATGCTGAGAGACTCACACAGAGACCGAATTTACAAAATTAACGTGTTTATTTTTAGAAAGGCATGCTTACAATGATCGAAACAATCGGGATTGTAGCCTTTACTCCTACAATCCCGATCTGTGTCGACCGGACTGTTTTCTTCCAACCTCCCCGTGTCCTCGAAGCTATAACTAGAACGGGCTTATAAGTATTTACTAACGATTCCTCCAACTTCCATCAAACCTAAACGCGTTTTCTCAGCAGCTGCATATATGTGCAACAAATTGAGAAGCAGACTTGGTGATGAGACACAGGATGCGTTGTTATTTCTCAGATCATATTTTCGCAATTCAAATTAGAATGTTCCTATTAGATTAGTTTTCTTTATATTTAAGAAAAATGTGACTGATTAATATTATTTTTAAATACTTTTTGCTAAGAAACTTATCTTACTACCTACTTACTAGGTTGCTATATGAAAGTAGTCTATTTAGTCGATGTTAAGAGAGATTTTTGTTAATTTTCAACGTTTATTTGCATAGTTTGTTACATAAAGGTTTTTTCAATTTATGTGAGTTTAAAGAGATCTCAGTGATGCTTAAAAAAGAATAAATTTAACATGAAGACTGAGTGATTTTAAGTCTGGTTAGTCTGACTCTGAGTCTGATTAGTTAGAGTGATTAAATTAGCTAGGTGTATACTGTAAAATATGTTGATTTTTGTCTAAATTTTGATTTGTTGATTTCTGTAAGATTTTCTTAGTTTTTATTAACCCTCAATACCGAAATAATCCCGGGATCGACTAAGTATAATCCCGAAATCCCGGGATTAGAAATAAGGACCGGGATCGAATTCCCTAATCTATACTCAAAAAAGCATAGTTCAAAACAAATAATAAATTTTAAACAGCTTTGAAATTAGGAAACAATTGTGTTCCTTCCAATGTCTTTCAATATGGAATTGTTTCCATATGCCATTTAGTGTTAAAAGTTAGAGGTATCTTGGTATTTAACTGAAAAAGTTGAATAAAAAATAAAATTTGTACAAATGACAAATTTATTCAATTTTGCTGATAAGTTACAATTGTCCTTCTGATTTATTAACTAATATTGAAATATTTTGTTTAAACAGTGTCCTATTATATTAATTGATTTATCATATTATTTTTTCTAATTTTTAAGGTTGTGAGCCAATCTTCCATTTTCCCTATGAACAATATCTTTTTTTTTTTTTTTAACACATTTAACAGAATTTTTGGAACCCATCCAATTCTGTTTTGTACAAGGTAGATGTGTTTCTACAAAAGTCATGTATTTATTTAATATTTTAATAGTTATTTTAAACTACATACAGCATGCTGGGAATCAACATCATAAATTAAAAAAAATTATTTTAAAATAAATACTGTTTTAAAGCATTTTTATTTAAGCATTCTAAAATTAAAATAAGAAATAAAGCCTCTTCTAGTATATAATGAAGGCATATTGGAGAGAGAGGGGTATATGGTCTTTCCCTATTTGCAGCTTGGTCAGAAAAGCAGATAGGTTGGCCAGTTACAAGCTGAAGTCAACTCTGGAAATCCCCTTCCAGGTACTCATTGGATGGTAGACCTTCAGATTCACAAAAACCACAATAAACAGAAATCTGCTGCAATTGAAATTTAATTCTGGTTCATAACACTTCCTGAAATATTTTTACTTTGTCTATTGTATAAAATTATGTGAGAATTAATTTACAAATACAAATTATATGTAGTTTTATCAGAAAAATATAGTTATAATGCAAGCTAACTAATATCTACATTAAAAATTATTTAAAAAAAATTTTTTTAGAAATTCAAAAAATTTTAAGTAAAATAAATTTAGAAATAACGTAAATTACCTTGTTCCAAGACGACGAGTTCTTAAACCAAGAAAAACAGACCGAATTAACTTTCCAAATGAAGCTGCATTAATAGGCTCCAGTTTATTTTCTGAACAATGTCTTAAATAATGATTATAAAGTGTACTTCTTGGTAAACTAACACCTTCTGCAGTTTCATAATTATCAATTAACCATTGTACCTATAAAGAGTTATAAATTATTTAAAAGAAATAAGAACAGGATACATTATAAAAAATTATATTTAATGAAAACAATAATTATAATTAAATTTTTATTTTTCTTATTAATGCTAATTTGTCACTAAACAATAAAAATATTCCAATAATTAAAACCAATACATATTCCACAAACATTTTTTGCTTTAATAAATTTATGTACCTGTTACAACAGTTGAACCTGGTTTATAAATTTCTCAATTGTACATTTTTGCAATTATATGTTAAATATTTTCTTCCCATACTTTATCCATTTTAAAATACTTCAGTTATGTGTTTTTCATTTACACTATTTCACTCCAATATGTCACATTTTTTTAGTACTCTACAGCACATTTTCCTCACTTATTAAATTTTTCCATTTCAAAGTGAATAATGTATAAGAAATTCACTTTTGCATTCTTTTTTAATAATGTGTGCACTTCAGCTTAGTCCACACTTACAGTGAATTGCCAGTAAATGCAAAAAGCAGAATAGATAATGTGTAACACAGCACCATTTGTGATGAATTTTCCCATTTAACAGATCACTTCACCAGACCAACATGTTTAAAATGTTCACTTTCTGTGTTTTGTCTGTGAATCAATTTTGCTAAGTGAATAAAAATCATTTCTCATTCATTTTCACTACTCGCTGTCAGTGTGAGCTAACCCTTAGAATGACTTCATTCTTTCACAGAGTTTTGGTGGAATGAGACAACTGATATCACATACAATATGTGATAAGTCCATGATAAAACATGAAACAAACAAAATTTGATCAATTTTTTTTTAGAGTATATGAGTTAATTTCACACTGTTTTACTTTTCCTTTTACATGTTGTTCAAATGTATTATATATGTAGCAAATTGAAAATTTTTTGTTAAAAAGTACATGTACAAATTCAGTTGTTGTTTTAATTTTTGTCATGCTGTACTTTTGTGATGATTATGTTCAATACAAAAGCAATTCAAAACTTGTTTCACTTTTATAATTTTTCTCATTTATATGATATTTTTTCAGTTCTCTTGGCAAACATATAAATGGGGTTTAACTGTAATATGTAAATGTAAACAATTTCATTTAAATAAAACTAAATATTGGGTTGGTCAGAAAGTGTGTATAGTTTATGCATTCTATTTGCATGTTAAAAAAGCTGGTAAGGGCTCTTGTTTGTCATTTCTGGCATTCAAACAGAAGATTAAGGGACTAGGAAGAAAGTCTGAGAAGGAATTATGAAAAATTTCTCTATCTAAAAGAACATGTAAATAGAGAGTTTTCTCATAATTCTTGGGTGTCTTTTAAGTGAAACTTTAAGACACTAAGACACATTATACAGAGTTAAAATTGTGTGGCACTATATGTTATGTGATTTTATTAAATAATCATTTTTATATTATTAATTGTGATAAAAAAGAAAAAGACTTAATTTTGAGGATAGAGATGAGTTTTTTAAAAAATTGTAAATGCTAATAATGAGTAAAATTTTCATTAAGTATGACTCCACTTGAGATATGACACACAACCACCTCTTTTTCTACTCCCTTGACTTGTAACTACTAAAATACATCATCATCAATTCCCTATACATACAAATAATCCTCCAAATTTCAAAATTTTTGTTCATCCAGTCCTAAGTTATTAATGCAAAATACACACCAACACACACAGACAGAATTTTGTAAGGGTTTTTTTTAAATAGTTTTTAGACTCCTTGAGTGTTAAAACATCAAGAAAAAGTTTGACTCTGTGTTTTTTTTGCATGTCTGATCAATATAATTTTCCTATGTTATGTATGCAACAGCCAGGAAAGAAAAACTCAATGAAAAATTTTGGCCAACCCAATCAAACAGTCTGAACATTACAACACAAATAATAATATATGTAGTAAGGACAGGTATGCCTAAATATGGACATAATTAAGAAATATTTATTTATGGTTTATAAAACAGAATATGTTTTTATATCAAAGAACATTTATCCAGTATCCAAAGTCTTAATATTTCTATAGTTAAAAATGCATTTAATTTACTTTAATTTCTAAAAAATCTTTAAAGTTTAATTTCTCTAAAACTAGAACAAGTAAATTATCATTGTATTCTTTCAGAAATTTTAGTACATCTCTTTTGTAAATGGTTACTTTCATATAATGTAAAATAACTTTTGATTATGATTACTTTTCTGATACTGATGCCTATTTTATTATTACATTAATTAAAGTACAACATTTTGATGAGTTAAAAGTAACAGCATAAATTTCCATTTTTATATCATCATAATATTTTCTAATATTTTGATAACTATGGTACATAAAAATCTTTTAAAAATAAGTTTTAGTCATAATTCTTATTGACACTTTATTGATTATACCAGATGTAATTCACATGTCCCTTAACTAAAAAAAAAAAAGTATTTTTTTCTGATAATATTTATTTAATTTTATTAGTCTTATCTAGTGTCTAATGTAAAACTTCTGAAAGTAATGAAGTCAATTAAATAAATATATTCTTGGTATTACATGTATGCCTAAAGAACAAATATGTTAAGAACATCTTAAATGTTAACTTTATATTCTAACTTGTCAACATCTGTTTAATTTCTGTGTATCAATGAATGAATTAATCTGCATAATAGAACTAATATTTCATTATAAAATTACAGTGTTTTATGATTTGTGAGATTACATAAAGATCATCATTATTAAATAATTAAAAAACAGATACTTATATAAAATTATGTATTTTATTGTATCACTAATCTTAAAAATATTTGTATAAATAACTATCTGAAATTTAATAATATATCATAAAAAATGTTTTTTATATTGTTTTTGTTCTTTTGTTTGTTATCCCTTCTTTTTTTTTTATAGAAATAATTTTTTAATAAAGAAGAGAGTGTGAACAAAACAAAATATTTTAAAACATTTTCAAAATAAACTTTCAAATCAAATATCTTTATAAATAGAACAAAAAAATAAAAGATATGTATATAAAGAAGAAAAAATAATAATATATACAGAATGCAATATAGAACTTTGTGCCTTACAGTCATTCTGAAATGTGTTAGTAATAAATAATACTTTTTACTACTACATTTAGTTAAAACTCAGGTAAATATTTTGTGTTCTTCATATGCTCTTCTCTTGTATTTTCATAATAAACACAGTAATTCTGTACAATAATTAAAAATACAAAATTATCAAAGCAGTAGATGTCTGATTCAATCAAGAATACATAATATATACCATTTTTTATTATTATTAAAAGTCTATAAAAGTTAGAAAAAGCATGCTTTATTAATACATTAAATAAAACATCAATCTATCAGTAAATAAAATACTATGACACATATACCCACCCAAACACCCTCACCCTAAAAATTGGCTATAGGCTGTCCTTGGATATAAGCTGCAAAAGCAAAAGTTGTAAATAATGTTGACTTTTTCATGGATAAGCCACTCTTTATACATGGTGTGCCACCAAAATCTGGACAAAATTCAATTTCAAATTCCTGCCATTCTATACCACTGGTAGATGTTGTGTTTGGCATTCAAATATCTTGACACATGTACTAAATCATCATAATCTCGAAACAGTCATAATGTTGAAATCAAGTGCGGAGTATAACTGAAGAGCCACAATTATCAAAAGTGTTCATGCTGCGCGCTCGGTGACAGAAATCATTTGGTTCTTCAGGTACCAGAGATCAACTGTGTATGATGTCGTCACAAACTATAATGAGTCAGAGAAGTCCAATGAAGGTTTTACAACACCAGCAAGGAAAACTCACTCGAAGGAGTGCATTGTCGGGAAGCCTGAAATCATTCAACGGGCTCAGGAGCTGATTTTTGAGGATCCAGATCAGTCAATCTGAAAATTGTCATCAGTTGTTGGTGTGGGTGAGAAAACTATGTGTAGAATATCAAAGGACCTCTTTGATGATTCTCATCAAAGAGGTCCTTTGATACAAGTCTTACACAATTAAAGTGAGTCATTGTGTAAAATTGGTTGTCAGACAACATCGACATGTTTTGGTGAAAAGAATTCTAGCATCACAACAGCCCAGATTTGAATCCTTTGGACTTCTATGTATGAAGCATAGCTAAAAGGGTCATGAACAAGTCCAGACATCCAAACCTCGCATTATTGAGAGCCACTATTGATGTGGAATATGCCGATGTGGACCATGACACATTAAAGTGCGTCTGAGTATGCTTCAAACCAAGAATGGAGGTGGTCATTCAAGCAGGAGGGGAATATATTGAGTAAATGTATTCTTTATGGCCTTACAAACAATGTGGTTAAAAAAAATTTGTAAACCTTTTCACTTTTTGCGATAAAAAATATGTAATTTGTCCGGATTTTGGCACCAGACCCTGTATACACTATAATCTATAGTCAAATTATTAGATATGACTACAGAATAAGAACCAATAGGAAATAAACAGCACTGGTATTAACATTATGTAAATCTCACTGTGCTATATAGTAGAGTAAACTGTATGCTATTTTTTGGTCTCTTTAACCAATTTTCACAAATACTTTAAAATTATTATTACTGGTATATCACTGCATTTTTATTTTATACTGTAGTTAAGAGTTTTTATCAGAAATCAGGTTTATATGTACAGTTGACCTTGTGCATAGGCCACAGTCTATAACAAGGTTTAGAGTAATATATATTTAGGTTAAATATATATTACCGTGAGCTTAAAAGTATATGTTGTAAAACTCATAAAATGTTTGTAAAGTTAATTTTATGAAGATCAATTTACATTTTTATTTACAAAATAAAATGCAATCATTAAATATTCTAAGATAAACGATATTTCTATATACAATTTTATTAGAAAAATAATATTTAATCAGAAAGATAAATAATTTAATTAAAAGTAATTACATATTACTAATAAATTAATGCTGATGATTTTATTTCAAAACTTGTATAACAAAAGGGCAGAATGATACTGGAAATGTTTCTTTTCAGATTTTTAAATTTTATAAGAGGTTCAATATTAAACATTAAATTTTTTTAAAAGTTAAACAAAGTTTGTTGAATTACAGATTAATTGAAATCCTTAAAACTTGAAAATAAGAATTATCAGCTTGATTAACAGTATTTTAAAATATAATAAATTTTAGTAACATAATATTAAAATTTATTACTGAAACCTTAGAAAATAAAAGAAGATAATATCTTGTTAATAATTATTATTATTCAAGTTAAAATTGTTTTAATATTTGAGTGTTATTAAAAATTAGTGAATTCTTTTAAATAAATTGTTACATTCATGTATATATATATCAATGCAATTTTTATTACAAATCACTAGAGTTTAGTAATATTATTAATTAAATTAGCAATGAAATTGCAATTAATCAAATGATTTTGCATTAAAAATTAATAAAGTTAATACTTGTGAATGGTTGTGTTTTAAAGTAAACAATGTTTAATAACAACTTAATCACACAATTCAATTAATTTGACCAGTTATTGATTTACGAGTACAGTTGAATCCTGTTTATACATTCCTAATTGTACACATATTTCACAATTATACATTACATATTTTCTGCACAGTACTTTATTATAAAACATTTCAGTTTATACTTTTTCATTTATATGATTTAGCATTTATATGTCATATTGCTTACTTATGCATTACTGACTTGAAAATGGCAAAAATTTAATATGATTTTTAAAAAAGATTGAAAAAGTGAATTATATATTCACTTCAGGATAGTTCAAACTGACAGTAAATTGCCAACAAATGAAAAAAGCAGAGCAAATAATATATAACCTGACATAATTTTCAACAAATTTTTCTGTTTAGTAGATTGCTCTGCCAGACCAACATGTTGAAAATTTTTGCTTTCCAAGTTTTGTAGTGTGAACTAATTTCACAAAGCAAATAATAATCATTTCTCATTCATTTTCACTATTCACTATCAATATGAGTTAGCCATTAGAATGACTCTTCATTCTTTCATATGATTGGAGTTTTGGCAGAAGGAGACAACTGATGTCATATATTGGTACAGAATTTGACAACTGTATTGAAAAAAACAAGAAGCAAATCAAACTTGATCAATTTTTTAAAGTACATGACTTAATTTTACACTGTTTTACTTTTCCTTTTATATATATTGTTCAAATTTATTATACATATAGTGAATTGACTTCTTTGTTAAGAATTACATGTACAAATTCAGTTGTGCAGTGTTAATTTTTGCCATGTGTTACTTTTGTGATGGCTATGTTCTCTCTGAAAGAAATTCAATAGTAGTTTCACTTGTAAGTTTTCTCACTTATATGATGTTTTTCTCAGTTCCCTTGAAAAACATGTAAACAGGGTTTAACTGTATAGTCTTTTTAACATAAAAATATCAATTAGCAATTAGAAAATGTTCTTCTTGTTATCAAATATTTTATTTTAATGTTAGCAAAAGCAATTTAATTAAAAGGTTAAAAAATATAATAATAGAATAGCTTTGAGAAGTGTATTAGTGCTTTACAGATGCAATTAGAAAAATGACAAACAACTTTAAATTTACAGATATAGTGGTTAATAAAACTATACATACAGTGGTAGGAGATGCACATGCCCCAATATGATTATCTCCATTGGAAACATTTCCAGATATACAACCTTGGTTATTAATTACTGGAGTTTGTGTTTCAACTGTTGCTCCTTGTGTATCAATCTAAAAAACATTAAATATTTGAGATGATAATAATTTATTCCTTAAAAATATACATTTTAAAATTACAATATAATAGAAATAAAATAAATTTATTTAATTATATATTGCTAAATAAATTAAATATTGAGAAAAGGATATTTCAGTAAGCAATTCGGAAAGTTAAAAATATCTCAAATTCAATAACTGAATAGTTTTATGAAATTTATGAATACCAGGAATATATATAAATACATTCATGGCCAAAATGTTTTCCACTATTTGCCACTTTGATCTGGCATATAATGGGCCACACTCATGGGGCTAGTGTAGAGGTTTGGGGATGTAATGGTATGAAATAACAAAGATTATGCAAGTATGAGACTCAATTACAGAGATTTTATTAAAATTAAGATTTTAACAGGGACATAATGTTTATTGTCATCAAAGAATCAGATACACATGATGTCACAGACAGAAAAATGTAAGTCTGGTTTTTCATTGTATCTAATCTTCCTGCTTTTTCATCACCTCAAGAAGTCATTTTGAAATGGATTTATATAGCTCCTTGATCATAGTTTTGTCGATATTGGTAGCAGAATCAATGATTTCCTCATGGATATTGAACTGTTGATTTTAATACATTCTTATTGATCTGTTGATCTTCTGTATTTCTTAAAGATACCAGATATTTTCAATGATATTTAGATTGTAGGCCAGTGCAAAACATTCACATTGTTGGTCTGGAAATACATGATCTATCTGGCAATCCTATTTGAGCACATATGAGTACAAGTTATCATGGGAAAAATCATCCTGATAAACTTGTTTTTCATCTATAAACTACTATATTTAAATTGGTAATCATCAGAAAGATGACACCAGATAAACTCTTGATACTCCTGCTTATGCTTTGGAGTCAGAAGCAATTTCTTCTATATTTTGCAACATCTGAATCATCCTGTTGCATAAGTCAGTAGATAGTATGGTAGAATGAATTTAGATCAAGAATTCCTGGAGGCAACAACTTGTAACAAGCTGATTTTGTCTGATTGTTGATTTTGCTTTCCACAACAAACTTCCTCTATCCCAATTTTTCAGGATAGGTGGTTGTTTGAGTTTGTTCCCTGTTCTGCTGTTGCAGTAATGCATGTCATTGAAGTATCTTTTTAGAAAAGATAGTTATTTTCTACAATTTTCAAAGACTAGAATACTTCTCATACAAGGTCTTCACTTAAAAGCAGACTTCTTCAGAATATATTCTGTTGTACAGAATCTAAGCCATATTACTGCCATGAAGAAAATATGTTAGGCAGAACTTGATAATACATTTCCATAATGTCACTTTTCCTACTGGTGAAAGAAATTTTGGCAATGCTTTTTGTAAAAAAAATATATGAGTATCGAAAGATTCTTTATTTATAAATCTGTGAATAGAAAATCTTTCATATGATATGAATATGGAAATTTCAAAAAATTTTCTGAAATTCTTGACCACTCAGCTCATTAGCTGTATCTGAATCATTCCTGCTTTGATTATGTAATTATGTCTTATAAACTCTCACTTCTAAATGATGTCCAATATTGTCTAGGAATGTAATGAGAGCAATTGTCAAAAATTATTTCTAAAAAATTAAAAAAAAAAAAAAAAAGTCAAACCCACACCTGTATAAACTGAAAAGAAAGTTATAAAAGGACTGAGTTTTTCCCTTATACACCTCATAAAAATTCAGTCATTATTCAGCAGTAATTTGTTTATTATACTTATAATCATTATCTATTTTATCAAACTGAATAATTATCTGCTTAATTCCATTTTAATTGTTAATATCTTGATTTTTTAACAATAACTAATTGTTTTTCAATTTTTAGATTTATTTCATCTCAATTATTTCATGTAAATTTACAATTAATTTCTTTATCAATGCCTAAAACAATGAATAATTTAAAGAAAATACACATATGGTTAACAATTACCAAACTAATCACCATTTACTATGAAATGTTTAGCACAAGTTGATTTTTATCTTCATATATGTAGGAAAATTAAAAGATGTATCAGAAATAGGCAGTCATAGCCAGTTCCTCCCCGATGCAACAAGTTGCCACCCAGCCCTGTAACAGAAGTCACCACCAATTCTTTGATCAATACCGTTAACTTTGTGCCTGTGAAATGGATATATGAGCGACTCTGACCCAGAACATTATTCAGAACTCTTCTAACATGCCAATCTCCTCATTTATTCAACCTCTCCTACATCAGGTCAGGTATTTATCTCCATGCGAATCACATGTGAACTCTCTCTCTTTCTCACGAAAAGTGACAGTATCTATACGTAGGTTAGTTTGTTATATTATAACCCATTAACAAAAATGTATACTATGTATTCTCCTTTAAAAATAAATGGTTATTAGTTATTAACCTGGCCTCTGAATGATTCACTTCTGACACACCGTCTCTCCAACCTCTTCAATGCAACTTGCTGTCTCTCAGTTTTCCATCCTGAATCCAATCACCTGTGCACGCAACCGCTCAAGTGACCTCAAACCAACAACCCTGACATTAAACAAAAATACCCTTAGTTGCTATGTGGGGTCTTCTATCCTGACATAGTCATTGCTGAAGCGATGTCGACCCTTCAGTCAAGCGGTGCCGAAGCATAAGGAGTGCTTTGTGCATTGTCACAATAATTATTGATATCAAAAGCAAAATTATTGTACATAACAAAAGAGCACAAACAGTGAAAAAATAAAAATAATATCTATTAGAGGATTGAGATGATTTAATGTAGAAAATACATCTGAAAATGGAAATTGACCATTTAGTGAATTTGATTTCTTGTAACTTATTGATAACTACAAGTTATGAGGTTTATGATATGATTAAATCATTACCATGATTATGATTCATTTACAACTACAGATAATAATAAGAAATTTTTAAGAAATTCAAAATTAGCAAATGAAAAATAAAAGAATACAAATTTTACTATGATCAATATTAATAATACAAAAAATTACCTGGGAATAGGTAAAAGAATTTCCATTTGTACTATAATATGGTGTAGAAGTGGAACCAATAATTGTATAGGATGGATAATTTGTCCTGAGAATAATTATTTAAAAATCATTTCTGTATTAGTCTATATAAAAAATAAAAACTTTTCAAATAAATTTTATTATATTTTAATGATATCAAATTAAATGATTAATAAGACAAAGCTGAATTAATTTTTAAATACATAAAATAAGATTGCAAAATGTTAAGTTTTATTAAAGATTATACAGTGATTCTTGTGCAAAGTGATTAATAATCCATTAACTATTCAATATATCAAAAAGTTAGCAATTTTAAATTAAAAAATAAAAATCATATCTGAGCATGAGAAATATTAAAAAGTAAATCATTGCTAAATAAAATATCCTAAATTTTGGAATATACAAAACATTTGTATAAAATGTATACATAATTAAAAATCAAATAGTTTTAATTCTCTAAAAATAACTGACAGAATCACTATATTTAAGAATAAAGTTGTTTTAGCAGAAAAATTTACATTTGAGAATTGTTAGTGGTATATAGTGAAGATTCATTAACTCCATCCACGTACTGGACATATGCAGAATGAACATTTTCATTTGACTGGAAAGATACAATTCCTTCTTCTTGATTACCATCTGGAACTGAAATTTAAAATTTATAATGAATATTTTAATACAAAATTTTAATATGAAAATAAAAGATAAAATCTAGAACTATCCAAAACACTTTATTAAATAAACTCATTTATCCATCAGCATCATTCTCTTATCTGCTAATAAAACTTAATTTAATCAAACAAAATGCAATTTAATTTATCCATAAAGATTTTTTCTTTATCATGAATCTGTTCTAAAAATAGTAAATTATTAAATTTCAATAAATCAAAAAAAGTGACAAATATAAATATTGGAGTGATTCAAATTACTTATATTTTTTATAAATTTGAAAATGATTTAAAAAATCTGCATACCATCAATACTTCATATAATGTACCATTTCTGTAATATTTAAAAATTTTTTCCAATATTTGAAGTTTTCAGATATTGAAAGAAACAATTTTGGTTGGATGAATCTATACATTATTTTCTCTATTATTTTGTTGCCTTCAAAATCATTTTCCATATAAAATATATAAAACATGAAAATACACAGTATATTTCACTCTATAATGAATTGAAATATTTAATTAAGTTGTTTTTATGAAAGGAAATTATATAAGGACACTAACAATGGGATACATTCTGAGAAATGCATCATTAATTTAAGCAAACATCATACAGTGTACTCACAGTAAAATCTACTATTCATACAGACTACTATATTTACTCACATATAGGATGAGGTGTGACTTTAAAGATCAAAATAAAGAAAATTAGATTTATTAATACAATTCTAATTTTATTTCATTTAATCACAAGTAAAATATCAAATGAACGTAAATGTACACATTGTAAAACAAAAAATTGTTTTAAATAAACCATAATGTTTTCCTAACCAATTGCTGTTTGGTTGTCTACCAAGAATCATTTTTGGATTACAAGGACGCTACACACAGAATTTGAACATACATGTGTCTAGAACAAATTATGAGCATGCGTCTCATAATTGCATCTTGTTGCACTGTACAGAGCCTTGATGAATCGTCGTGTTAAATACAAACATGTCATATCACATCACATGCAATGGATCAATTCGGCATTGATCGAATACAGAGATTTACAGATTAGTCTTCAAATTTCAAAAAGGAGGGCATCTAGGAAGACACTTTTCGATGGAGGACAGAACTTATAAAAGGAGGACAATTGGTCACCTTACTTATATGCAAGTAAATACAGTATATGTAACATAATGGCAAGTATTTATGTAGCCAAACATTTAAACATAGAAATAGTACAGTAAAATATACCATTTCATGTTTAAAACTGATTTAATTCATTATAAAATTTTATAATGAATTAAAATTTTATAATGACATGATAAATTATAGTATTTTTTTGTTCAGAAATTTTCTGAAAATACTTCATTTCATAAAATTTTTGGATAGATGTTACTGATGTTGGACAGTTATTTCATATGACTGCTAAGCTGTAGGTTTGTTTAGGTATGAACACATTACATGCAGCCACTACCATCACTGCATGCCATTATGGCATTTACAAATTTTTCAGCTCTGTTACGTATAGATCTGAATTATTTTATGGAGCCTCCATTATATATGCAGTCAGTTATTAAGTAGTACATGTATTCAAATTTTTAATACTGTATTTCCAAGCAAATAAGAGCATGACCTAATACAGGGGTCACAAACTGGCAGCCCACAGGCAAGATATGTCCCATTAAGGCTTCAAATATGGCCTGTGGTCTTGATTTCTTTTCTAAAAATTAATGTTTCTAACATCTTGTAGGGATTAAAATAGAAAAAAAATTCAAATGTCTATTTACATAAGTTGTAAGTGCTGGCAACAAAACATCCTTTGTTAGAGCCATTTTTTTAAAATTACAGTATGTTTTTGTTTATGGAAAAATATTAAATATGATATGCATCTATTTTACTGGCCCTTTGCAATGTTTGAGTTTGAGATCCCTGTTCTAAATATGTAAAAGTTGCTTGTTTTTATGTTTTTGAAATATGTTTTGCTTCACTTATAAGAGCATGCTCTTGTGTGTGTCAACTTGTTTTCACTTACAAGAGCACTGCACAGATGTGTCAATGTAAATTAAATATATATGTACTGATACATTAACTATTCACTTGACAAAAATAAAAAAAATGCTGCCAATACTATAAAAGCTTTTTAAAAATAGTGAGATTTTAAGTGTTTTGTGTAATATAATGCCAATTTGGCTCCATCTATAAGATCATGTTGTTACAGTAATTATTCAATTACTTTTTGTTTTTAATCAGTAATTGTCTTTATTGTTTAATCTAATCTCAAGAGTGTATTTTGAAACTGTCTGTTAGTTTTAATAGTTTTTACAAAAGGAAAATTTTTTTATTTTTAATCTAATCTAATTAATATTCAGTTTTTAAAGAATGATTTAATTAATAAATTATTAGAAATTACTTTTAGTATCAAATTACTTATTGCAATTAAATTTTGAAAAATCAATTTTAAAAACTGTTTATGACAATAAATTAATAATTATCCATGTAAAGATATTATTGATATATTCAAAATATTAATTTATAAATTATAATTAAAGAATTTACCTGTGACAGTTATGAACTGAGAAGTTTTATTATCAGTAACATTTGAATCCAGAAGACCTTCTGTATGTTGTTGAGATATTTCTGAACAAGAAGTCTCATGAATAGGAATTGATATTTGATTTACAGAATGCGATCTTGAATCGGAAACTTGGACAGATTGTGACTGTGAGTTTCCAGATGTTATAATTTTTCCAGCCTGATCTGAAGACTGATTAGATGCTTGAGTTTGCATGTGAAGAAACTATGAAAAGTAGATAAATTGCTATTTAACATTTTATAATGAAATAACTCTTTNTTCAAGCAGGAGGGGAATATATTGAGTAAATGTATTCTTTATGGCCTTACAAACAATGTGGTTAAAAAAAAATTTGTAAACCTTTTCACTTTTTGCGATAAAAAATATGTAATTTGTCCGGATTTTGGCACCAGACCCTGTATACACTATAATCTATAGCCAAATTATTAGATATGACTACAGAATAAGAACCAATAGGAAATAAACAGCACTGGTATTAACATTATGTAAATCTCACTGTGCTATATAGTAGAGTAAACTGTATGCTATTTTTTGGTCTCTTTAACCAATTTTCACAAATACTTTAAAATTATTATTACTGGTATATCACTGCATTTTTATTTTATACTGTAGTTAAGAGTTTTTATCAGAAATCAGGTTTATATGTACAGTTGACCTTGTGCATAGGCCACAGTCTATAACAAGGTTTAGAGTAATATATATTTAGGTTAAATATATATTACCGTGAGCTTAAAAGTATATGTTGTAAAACTCATAAAATGTTTGTAAAGTTAATTTTATAAAGATCAATTTACATTTTTATTTCACAAATAATAATATATGTAGTAAGGACAGGTATGCCTAAATATGGACATAATTAAGAAATATTTATTTATGGTTTATAAAACAGAATATGTTTTTATATCAAAGAACATTTATCCAGTATCCAAAGTCTTAATATTTCTATAGTTAAAAATGCATTTAATTTACTTTAATTTCTAAAAAATCTTTAAAGTTTAATTTCTCTAAAACTAGAACAAGTAAATTATCATTGTATTCTTTCAGAAATTTTAGTACATCTCTTTTGTAAATGGTTACTTTCATATAANGATTAAAAATGAAAAAAAATTCAAATGTCTATTTACATAAGTTGTAAGTGCTGGCAACAAAACATCCTTTGTTAGAGCCATTTTTTTAAAATTACAGTATGTTTTTGTTTATGGAAAAATATTAAATATGATATGCATCTATTTTACTGGCCCTTTGCAATGTTTGAGTTTGAGATCCCTGTTCTAAATATGTAAAAGTTGCTTGTTTTTATGTTTTTGAAATATGTTTTGCTTCACTTATAAGAGCATGCTCTTGTGTGTGTCAACTTGTTTTCACTTACAAGAGCACTGCACAGATGTGTCAATGTAAATTAAATATATATGTACTGATACATTAACTATTCACTTGACAAAAATAAAAAAAATGCTGCCAATACTATAAAAGCTTTTTAAAAATAGTGAGATTTTAAGTGTTTTGTGTAATATAATGCCAATTTGGCTCCATCTATAAGATCATGTTGTTACAGTAATTATTCAATTACTTTTTGTTTTTAATCAGTAATTGTCTTTATTGTTTAATCTAATCTCAAGAGTGTATTTTGAAACTGTCTGTTAGTTTTAATAGTTTTTACAAAAGGAAAATTTTTTTATTTTTAATCTAATCTAATTAATATTCAGTTTTTAAAGAATGATTTAATTAATAAATTATTAGAAATTACTTTTAGTATCAAATTACTTATTGCAATTAAATTTTGAAAAATCAATTTTAAAAACTGTTTATGACAATAAATTAATAATTATCCATGTAAAGATATTATTGATATATTCAAAATATTAATTTATAAATTATAATTAAAGAATTTACCTGTGACAGTTATGAACTGAGAAGTTTTATTATCAGTAACATTTGAATCCAGAAGACCTTCTGTATGTTGTTGAGATATTTCTGAACAAGAAGTCTCATGAATAGGAATTGATATTTGATTTACAGAATGCGATCTTGAATCGGAAACTTGGACAGATTGTGACTGTGAGTTTCCAGATGTTATAATTTTTCCAGCCTGATCTGAAGACTGATTAGATGCTTGAGTTTGCATGTGAAGAAACTATGAAAAGTAGATAAATTGCTATTTAACATTTTATAATGAAATAACTCTTTTATTCTAATATTATATTTTTAAAAAAAATTTATATAAAAAGATGTATTCAAATCTGCTTATTTAAAGAGATACAAAAGAAGAATTTGTTTAAATAATTTTAAATGTTTGCATTGGTTTAAATAAGAATATCTAAAAATAGAATGACATATTGTAACATAATATATAGTACATTAATGAATGCAAACAATCAAAATAACTCAATAAATATAAATAAATTTTATATCTGTATTTTTGTAAATAATCTAATACAAAATGTTAATATATGTCATGGCTATGAGCAAAAATCCGAAAGGATGAGACTATGGATGAGACACTTTATTATTCGTTCAGCTGGTTACACAGTTAATGGTCAACGATGTCAAGCGTGGGCGAAGAACGGTTCAACTGCCCTCCTTCGTCGTTTTCCCCCTCTCCTCCTTCACTTCCGTCCCTAACTCCCATACCTTTCGATAAATCTCTCACTCCGGGTATACACCCTGATCGGGTCGTATCCACCATGTGTCTCTCCAAATTTCCTTTTGCTGTTGGTGGGCCCACTTGTTGTTGCATCCCTTACAATATATATATTAATGCAAAAGTCTATAACATGTCATCTACATAACTAAATTTTTATCATCACTAGACTATTTGTAATGTCTTCAGTTCTTAAATACTAAATGATATCTCCAAAAATTTTTAATGACATTATTTGGCTTTTTCAAATTTATTAGTATAGACTTTTTTACTTTTTATAAATACACTAGCTTACCATGGCTTCACCTGCACAGAATTTGCAATTTGATAGAAATAACCCTCCCTCGGNACATTCTACAAAGAACTGCCAGATAAATCATTTCCAAAACTGAAAGACAATGCTCGATTTTGTGCAAGCATGTTTGGCAGTACCTATGTATGCGAACAAGTGTTTTCGCTTATGAATTTAAACAAGTGCAAAACACGGAACAGGTTAACCAAAGAGAATTTGGAAAATCTGGTTGTTTCAACATCTGCCATTACACCAGACATCAAGAAGATTGCTGCCAGCATCTAATCTCAGCCATCGCATTAATCACTTGGAGGTCCGGCCCCCAGTCAGTAAACTTAACCCTAATTTGGCCCTTCTTCACAAAAGGTTGTGCATCCCTGGATAAATAAATAAAAACTCACGCCAAAATTGTATAACTTCTTGATAAAAAGCACTGAGTTCAGCGTTAATACGATTTTTTCTTATATCGCAAGTACTTTCGACGAGTATTATATCGTCGTCCTCAGGCGAAAAAAGAACAAATTTGAAAATTAGAACGTGCAGAGTGTTCCAAGTAAAAAACGGAAAATTTTTTCTTGTCAATTTCTAAATTATAACGTTCGGTAATTCCGTTGGTCACGTGCAACAAGCTTTTGCGGGCGTTCGAAATATCTTAAATCCACACGACTAGCAGCGCATGCGCTGAGGAGTGATCGTACTAATTGTGCGACTCTCGGCGCTTTTTGCTGTTTAAACGCTGGTATAAAGTAACCCATATTTCGGGCAAGTCGAGTGTGGGGACGTTGCATGCGTTTGTGGTCATTGTAAGTAGCGCTTCCCAAATAAATGTAATTCTTCTGTTGTTACAGCTCCTGAGCAACGCTGTTTTTGACCATAACGGTTTATAGCCCTGCTGTAGAACTTTTTTGGCGAGCTCTGTGGTCTGTCTTCCTTTGTTTATATCATCCTGATGTTCTGCGATACGGCAAGCAAGCATTCTTGTCGTTGCCCCTATATACTTCTCAATTGTCCCCGTTACTGGATTTTCCAGTTGCACTGTGTATATTCCTGATTTTTCTAAAACGTCGACTTTATCCCGATCATTGCATATACTCCTGCGTAGGTTGGGTAGGGGGGTTAAAGGAAGAGTAAAGTTGTATCGCCGGAAAATACGGCTAATAAGTATGGACGGTGCTCCTAGGTACGGCAGTGCTGATTGTACTCTAGACATTTCTTTTTTGCTATGTAGTGTGGTAAACGGGAAAAGGGAATCTTTTACCCTACGTAGTACATGCGTAAATTTGGCACTTGTGAATCCAGCGTGATGTACTGCCGTTCTTACGATTTCCAATTCGACTTTTATTAGAGCTTGCGATGGGGGAAGTAGCATTGCTCTTCTGACGAGAGCCGCTATGGTGGAATTGACATACCGCGATGGTTGAAATGCATCAGCTGGAATGATATAGGGGACTATGTTGGACTTATGATGCACTGTAAACTGCGGCCCTTCTAGTGACTTCTGTATCCGCATATCCAAAAATGTTATAGATTGTTCATGCTCCTTTTCCCATGTGAAATTGATGGTGGAATGGACGCTTGAAAGTTGCTGCATAAATTGGATAAACTCCTCTTCTGAATTTTCCCATATTAGTAGAATGTCATCTACATAGCGCAAGTATAGTGATGGGTAGCACATAGCAAGTGGAGCTTTGAAAATTTTTTGTTCCACGTCCCTCATAATGAGCTCGGCTAATACTGNGAACGTTGGGGGAGATTTTTTTTCTGTATGTATGAATGTCAGAGTTTGTGTAGAGGGCATGCTTTTGTTCACCCACTTTGAAGCTTAGTAACTCCTGTGTCTTTTGTCGAAAATTTCTGAAATTTTGTAGGGTGGTTTGTGTATTAGAGGGATTGATGCTGTTAAATTTTAGTGGTTAAAGCTTGAAGTATGGGGATAACTGAAGATAGGATTATGTGGCATAACTGAAGACGGGTCGGACTATGATTTTACTTATTATTAGCATTTACAATGTTATTTTTTTTTTTTTTGTAAAATCCATAACTACCCTTAAAATTAAGTTTTTAGCCATTTTATAATAATTAATATAAAAAGTTTTTAAATAAAAAAAATCTCTTAACAGATAGCGCCAAGCACAATTTTAAATTTTGCCGGGAAAGTTACGCAACTCTTTGCTGGAGTTTTTTTACGTAAGAGAATAATTATTACAGTTTCTTGCGTGGATTACTATTATTAATAGAAAGAAGATAATCTAGTAATCCATTATTATCTCTTGATTATCGTCTCGTAGACTAATCTGATGATGAAGTATGTACAATTTTTATGCTATATATTACTTAGTGTATGGCGTTAACAGAGGAGCAAACGGTGCATTTTCTCCTCCCTAGGATCGTGTAAAAAAAAATTCCACAAATTATTATCGTTAAAAGTGATTGAAATAAGTAATTTTACCAAATAATGGGATGTCTTGATACAATACTGTGTTCTATAATCTGTACAATAGTCTGAAAAACAACCCAAAAATTAAATGTAGTAATTAAATAAAAATGTATTGATGTGATTATTTGTCTTCAAGGTTTGCCCCATCGAAAATTTTCTGCGTACGCCCATGACGATAGATTTCTGTTTTTAAGATAGAAAATATTTCTGATTATTAGAAATATAATTGTTAAATAATGTACTGTATATATATAAAAGAATATATAATACATTAATATTTTTTGTGAGGTAGGAAAAATTTTGCATATATAGTAATTATGTACTCTATTTTCGTGGAATGACCGACATGCCGGTACCCCCGTGGTTACCGGCATGCCGTTTAACTGTGACTAAAATGTGAAAATGACGAAACTAATAGAAGAATTAGCATGATCTTGTTATAAACTAATGAAAATATTGGATTTATTAAAGAACTCATTCCTCAATCTACTATATAAAGATAAAAAACTGGGCATTTTCTGTCACGGTATGCTCCCCTAGCTATTATTTAAGTTAACAACATAAATTATTTTATATTTATTTTATATTTTTACAATATAATACTCGGTATATTATAATTTTTATTTGTAATTTAGTATTCCCCAATGCCTACATTGGGCCTTTCGACTTGTGGTTAATAAGGTCCTTTTAATTTTATTATAAAAAGTTTTCCATTTTATTTCAACGGTTTAAACTGTTTTACATTTAGTTTCATACAGATACAACTCTTCATTTTTGTTTTTTGTTTTTTTTAAATATTTTAGTCTTATGTTAATTTAATTTTAATTAGTTTATGAATACAAAGTTGATTCATTCAGTGATCGCCAACATAATTTTAATAAACAGTCAAAGGTTTAAATTTTTAAATGTGTGTAATATATGTTCAATGTGGTGTATTAGAATTATATAGCCTTTATTGTTTAATTAAGTATATCTGTAATAAAATACTGTAGAAGGGCTGAAAGCCTAAAATGCATTTCCTTGTATAATAAAGTTGACATAGTCAATTGCTTGTGTTCCTTGTATGATTAATTTTCTTCAGGAAAATTTACATTTATCATTGAAGAAGAATAGTTATCCATTATTCAAAACAGCAAATAAAAGTGAGTTATATAAATGAAATGCTAGAATTATAGAGAATGTAGAAAAAGTATGTAAAATAAAAATATAACCAACACCCAAAAAAATTTAGATAGGAGTTTTACTACTCTATGATTTTTAATAAAACTACAGTAACACCTTAATTTAATGAATGAACTGATTCAGGCAAGTAGGTATCTGTTATATAATAAAATAGGTTTTCCAAATATGTGTTAAAAAATTGACAAATTAGTTAGTTTATCTATTTTTACTTATGTAGATACTTAATTTTAATTACACAAATGTATGTATGAAAAGTTTTTTTTATATATAATATTGCTTATGTAATCATCTTAGTGTTGAGACTGTAATAAACAAGTACATGATCTAAATCAGTGGTTCCCAGAATGGGTGTTACTGTCCCATGGTTACTAGATAAACTAGATGAGGAGCTGCTATTGTTCTCACCCTTTGTTTTTGTTCTAGGGACAGTACAGTAAGGACACAAAGTGTGAGTTTCATAGAAAAGTTTTCTAAGAATATTTGCAAGCCTTTCTCACATGGGAAAATAGGTTAGGGACATTGGAATATGGTTGGGAGTGTTGGGTATAACTTTATGGAACCAAGAGGGTGGTGGCTCAAAATGTTTGGGTATCACTGATCTAAATCAAAATAAATATGTTAAATATAATTATTACTTGTTCAAAAAGCTGGCAACATTTTAATTCTTTTTTTTTTTTTATTAATGGCTGCAACCTCAATTATAAGTTGGTCATGAGTGTCTTATTTAAATCTTTTATATTAATAAATGTTTATTCGAGTTAACTTTGTGCTCTGCACATGTCTGATTGATAAGTAAAAGCTAAGAATACAAAACAACAAAACAGACAAACATTTTTTGGAAAATATACCTGAGAAATGACTCTTGGATTTAAAAATAAATAAATTAATAACCTATTAATTTAATTACACATAAAAAGCATTTTAGTATCAACAAGGTGTTAATTTTTACATATGACAAATGGATTGGAAATTTTGTCCATTAAATTGAGATTTTACTGTATTTCCATTTCTGCATTAAATAATAATAATAATAAAGTATACTTTTTATATGAAAAAGAATTCGAAATTAACATTATTACTATTATGTTCAGCATATTTTTATCACCATATTTAAAGTTTCCAGTTTTCAAATGATAAATATATTTTTGAAAATTTCTTAAGCCAAAAATTGTATATGAAAACACTTGGTTAAATTACCTTTTTAAACTTTATATAGTACATATGCTTACAACATATAATTTTATTAATATATTAAAAAAAAAAACATTTTTTTATTGCTTCTTTCACAATTCATTCAGTTTAATTTGTGCATTCAAATTTAAACAAAAAGAGTATATTTATACCATTCACAATATCACATCACTGTATACAAAGCAAATTACATCAAAATTACAAAATCAGCAAATTTCTAAGTTTTAATATTAGAAGAAAATATTAGTAAAAGTAATAATAGATAAAAACATTCCAATTAATATTAACAGAAATTATAAACTTATTTTTATAAATGCAGCAAAGAAAATTGTTAAATATTATAGGAAACCCATCAAATTATTTTATATTATTTCATATAAAATTATTCTTTTTAATTATATAAAAATACAGAAATAAACACATTTATTTTAAAAAAATTCATATACCTGCAGCGGATAAGCTTGTAATTCCCGTAGAATTATTTCCACCCCCAGCAGCAGCTAAAGCTGCCAAATTCTGCACAACCATTGGATTAATTCCTAATAAATAACATAATTAATTAATTCGTAAATATTTTACATATTAAAAAGAAAACCAAACTGTAAATCAATTTATCAAGCTGAAACTTCATTAAATTTGAGCAACTACTACTAAATTCATTCTCTTCAACGCAACTTAATATATTTAATTATTTTTGTTAAAGAAATAGAGAATTTGAGTTTGAACAACTTTTAAAATAAGAAACAATTCTTTGTAAATATCTAATTTCATTAAATACTTCAAACTTAACACTTAACTAATTTTTAAAAATAAATAAAGAAGAAGCAACTCCAATTCTGTGTATTTATGTATATTGTACATCAAGTTTCATTTGTATAAATTTATAGATTAAAAAGCTTTTTAAAAGTTTTAATAAAATATAAATAATCATGCAATTCAAATTTACCAACACCTTATTTGCCAAGGAAAACATATTTATGTTAAGTAAAGACAGCTGTTAAAAGCTATGTTAATTAAAACTTCTGCCTTGTATATAAAGGGATTGCAGTAATTAATTTCAGTGTTAATCAAATTCCAAGTTAAGCAAAAGATACCTGTACTACAAAAATATTTTTTATGGGATAATTTATGTCTCAATACAATAAAATCTGCTTATTACATCACAGGTGTATAGTGAAAGTATCATTAGACTCCATATTCGATAGAAATCTAATTCTTAAAGAATTTTGGAGAAAGAAAGACATTCTCAGTGTAAAGAGGAAGAAAATAATACTGACTACTGATTTATGTAGGAGATCAAGGATGAGAAAGAAGAAATTTCTACTGATAGTTAAACAAGAAAAACTCAATGGTAACAAAATAATTGTAAGAGATTATTATTATATAAAGGATGATAAGATATATTTATATGATATTAATCTTGATAAAGTAGTTCAATTAAGTGATGTGTCACAAAGGAGATATATATATATATATATAAAAGGGGTTTCACTTTCGATAAAAAAACACTTTCAATATAAACGCTCCATTATAACAATAATTTCTCCTACGATAGCCACTTGGTGAAAGTATTGTTATAATGGAGCATTTATATCGAAAGTTTTTCAAATGATACAAATGGCTTTGGAATTGCTTGTTTAAAGAAAATATAGTTGTTATTATAGATAAATTTTATACAAATTGAAAAAAATTACATTTCTATAAGGAGGCATTGAAAGTTGATTCAGATACCACCTCTGTGCATTAAACAAGAACATTAACAAACAATCAAGTATCTTTTTATTATTTATTATAAATAAATTTTGTAAATGTTTTATTTTATAATAATTCAACTGTCTTTTGTAATAAAGTCGTATGTCTGGTGACTAAGATTTAGCTTATATTACAAGGATTGCATGATACAAAAGCTGAAATGATGAAAATATAGTGGAAATAATAATGTTATAATAAGATAAAACCAACTACGATTGGTTACTACTTGGAACTCCCTTGTAACAGGTTAACCCTATTACAATATACTTACTTATTTACTTTCATTACATAGATGAAGCAAATAAAAAGAAAAAAACTACAGCCTAGATAGGAAGACTATTTCTTAGAACTGCTTGATAAAGTGTGATTTGTAAACAAAAGCAAGAAAACCAAATGAAAATGACCTGATATGGAATATTACACCTGTTAAGAAATCAAAGGAACCGTGGAAAAGACGAAAAATGGAAAGGTAGTCAACCTGATGGTATTTCAGTGGAGGCATGGAGTCTTGGAAAAAGAAGGGATAGACTTGTGTAGAATTTGACGGAAAAAGTATATTAACAAAAGAAGATACCAAATAAATGAAAAAGAAACTTCTCAATCTTCAGAAGGAAAGAGATATGCAAGAATTACAGAACTTTATAGCAGACACCCTGAAGATATGAGAAAGAAGAATAGCTGTTGAGAAAAGACAGTTTGGTTTCATTTTGGTGAAATTAACTTCATATGTAAATTTTTTGTCTAAGACAGACAATAAAGGAGTTCAGCAGGAAAAAGCAGCAGAAACTGTATCTGACTTTCATAAATATAGAAGGCTTACAACAGAGTGCTCAGACATGATCTGAAACAGTATGCAAACAGGAATGTATCCAAGAAGTATATTAAGTTGATTCTGATAAGATATAATGACATGTCTACTAAAGTGGAGAGTTGTCTTGTGAAAACAGCTTTTTAATGTATCCTAGGATTGGCTAATTTTATAGACTTATCACACATTGTAGATTAAGTGATGAAATGGAAAAAGTATACACTTTACTGATATCAAAATTACATTTCAGACTCATTGTTCTTAATCAGTCCAATCAGCAAGCATAAATGACTATTAAAAATTATAAAATTATTTTGTATTTACAATAATATTTTAAGTTATTTTTACTAAATATTTAAACAGTACCTACAAGAGTTTTCTTTGGATATATATACAACTTCAAAATTGTGCTCCCAGCAGAGTCTTTTCCCAAAGCATGTACAGTACATTTGTAAGGAACCAAGTCCTAGCATTATTTTTAGTTACTTTTATTTTTGCTTTTATTCTATTTTTGTTTGGGGCTTATGTTTTGTTAGGACAAAGGTTTCCTCACCACTCACCTTAGAAACTTAAAAATAGAAGAGAAACCAACTCATCGACGAGAGAAAAGCGCTGTAGATAAAACTCGCGCAAACTTGCACTCCCGAGCGGAAAAAATTAAGCCCGCAAAAAGGGGGGAGACCCCACAAGCACAACTTAGGAACTTGCTAAACCTTAAAGAATAAAACATCCTGAAAATTGTCAAAAAGAATAATGTAAGAGGTTAGCGAGTATTGTCAGAAAATAGACTGCCAGGCAAACAAGAAAAGAAATAACCACTTAATAAAACCAATAACCAGTATTAAATAATCGTAAAATGAACTGCGAACGTTTCGGTTCCTTCCCTAGGACCTTTCTCAAGCAGTGATTTGTCTTTAGAATAAATATGAACGAAGACCAGTAAATAGCGATATTCGAAAAATTATTCTTCCGAACAACATTTCAAAAGTCAAAATTCAACGTTAATGTGAATCACATGCATTCCCGAATTCCGTAAATTCAATAAAAAATAAAAATAAAAAATAAAAAATGTTTGGTTTAAATGTTGATTGATTTGAGTTTTGTCGGGTTGATTCTTATTGATTTACATTGAATAAATTGTTATTTGCTTTTTACTAAATTTTGTATATAGTTATTACTAGAAATTTTATGAAATATTGGATTTTTTTTTACTAACTTTGTCATTATTTAATTCAGTGCATGCTTAAAGTCCAGGCCTGGCACATTAACGCGAATCCATGTAAAGTACCCATTAGGTAATGGCTATTTCTGGCACACAGTCGTATCGATAATTGTTGGAAAAGGCAGAAAAATAATATAGTACTTTACACATTTACTTATTAAATTTTGTTTATAAAAATCACATTTACATAGATATTATAAAATTATCTGACATGATTAAAGATTTGTTCTTCTTACAAAATTTTACATAATTTGGACTTTTGACATTACATAACTCTGGAATAGTAACAATTTAAATTATTTAAAACATTGTACTGTAGAAAATAAATTGACAATAATGTGAAAATATCTTTTAGAAACTTTTTACAAGATTAAAATTAGAAAACAAAAGAGAATGAAAATAGGTTGGGTGCTGAGAAGTTATGGATTTGGAGGTAGATTTAGAATTGCAAGAGTGTTAATGTTGTTGACAGAGATGTATGATCAGTAGTGTAAAATGAGTTGTGAAACATGAATGGAAGAAACAGAAGAATAAAAAACTACAGGGGATACATTGGATCATAAATTTTTCAAATATTAGGAAGCTTTAAAAGGTAGTTTTTAATCCTTTCACTTCTTTAAACATATTAGGTAGTACTTGGCATCTAATGAGAAGAGAAATTCCTTATTTTGCAATTTCTGATTTATAAAATAATTATTTTTTTTGTTGAAGGAAAATAGTCCTGAAGATAGTGGAATTCAATGAAATTTTCAAAAAATTCTATCTTTTAATGTTTACGCCCCTGATGAATCAAGAAGCTTAAAAGTACTCAATACTTAGTGTGAAGTAAGTTTTTATGATTCTCCACTAGTAATTCCTGAATTACAATGATAATGTGAGGATATAGAAAATATTAAACACAATATGACAAAATAATTGACAGAAATGAACTTAACTGAGTTTAAAAAATATTTCTAATAGAAAAAAAAAAAAAAAAACACTAGAAGATAAAAAACCCAAGCATTCCAATTATAATGTTCTATAGCTTCAAATATTTATAAAAGTTCTATAAGTAAGTAAAACTATAAGGTTTCTGGAATAGATTACAGTAGAGCATCGACTATCTGAAACAATTTGTGACTTGGGTTGTTTAAATAATCGATTTTTCGGATAACTGATTATGTGCAAAAAAATATATTAACCTACCCATGTTGAAATTCGTTCAAATCCTGGTGTGTCCTTAAGTATCCTCTCATGGTCGCACCATCGCTGCCAGCTAAAACATGCACACCAAGAAAAATAATATTGGAGTAGCCCAAGACATAGCCAAATATTGCAGCGCCACAGCACTAGTGGAAATTTAAATTTGGTGACTGGAATGCTTTTGGTTAACCGATATTTCAGTTGATTGATATTCGGATAATTGATGCTCTACTTTACTTTTAAATATATTAAGAACTTTCTTATTGTAACATATGATTTCTTTTAAATGTATGTAGATCTGGAATTAAATTACCAAAACTATGTGATAAACTTGAAAAATCTAATACAGTATCAACAAAAAAAGTACTTTTTGGTTAATGGGATGACAGCAATGGATATAATTCAAGCTATGAATGAGGAGCTTCACGCCACACTGGAATTGTTGACCCTTTGTGTGATATTCATCTCTGAAGGTAAATTTTTAACATGTGTCAGTCTACTGCATATTCTACATGCTTCGCATATGTTGCTATCACTCACGCCTCACTGCCTGGGTGGGGCCCCTAAAACTATATAACATCCAAGTAATCCATGAACATGTTAAGCAGGCTATTCGAAGCTGGCACCGTCACGTGGGATAAATTCTTAAACATGATAGTCTTCTAGCATCCTGTTAACCAAAAAGTACCAAAAAAAACTTTTGCCTTTATTACTAAGATTTCATCAGTTAAAATACTGTATTTACTCACATATAAGACAACCTTGCATATAGGACAAAAAGAGTTTGAAGATCAAAATAATAAAAAAAGGATTTATTAATACAATTGTAATTTTATTTCATTTAATCTTAATCAAGATATACAAAAAATATCTCTTCTAATCTCATCCTCTCCTACTATCAGCACCTGTATAATAATTTCATCCATTACATTAATAGGTCTCCCTTTCTCTTCCGCCTTCTATTCAAAAGATCTAATTCTCAAGTAAATATCAAATAAACATAAATGCACATATTGTCCCGCAAAAATTATTTGCAAAAATGCAAAGAATCTTTTGCTGGTGCGTATAGGACAACCTAGGAAATTGAAGCAGTGATAAATGAATAAAAACCTCATCTTATATGTGAGTAAATATGGTATATAGAAATAGTTCTGTCGTTCTTTTATACAACAACAAAATAATTTTTTACTTCATTTTTATTATTCATACTGTGTCAAATTTCTCAAGTTTACCCTATGTATACTTTTGACAAGTGTAATTATTGTAATTAATTATCAAACCATACAGTTTTTTAACAATAGTGCTTACTTAAAATTTTACATATTATTTTTTATTTTTTAAGTTAATTTCTGTTTTATTATTTAAATGGCATAACATATACATAACTGATATGTTATACAAAATATAATGCAACATAATAAATATCATTTACCTGGATTGTTAGCTAAGCTAGCTAATGCAGCAAGACTTTGTAAATTAGCTGCATTTATATCTGGAATAGAATCAAAATTTAACTTATTCATCTCATCATCAACAAATTTTATTTCATAATATTAAACAAAAATTTAACAGTGGTTTATAAATTTCAACTTAAAAATTTAATTAAAATAAATTTTGAAATTAAACTTCAGTTTAATATTCTATAGTTATGCTACTACAGATATAGCTTAGTTATAGTTATTTTTATTGCTTGCATTTGAAATAGAAAATTCTCTTTTAAAAATATATTATATCATATATATAAGTTCAATAAAGTTAAATTAATCAATTAAGATTTAGTAAAAAACAATATCATTTAAATGCTTGAGTTTTAAAGAGTATGTCATGATTAACATTTTTTCAGACATTTATTTCATTATCAGATTATTATTATTATAATTAAAATAATGAACAATATTTAAATCAATCTAAACAATGTATCAAAATATGTATTCAANCTCCGTAGCGTGGCGCTACGGACGGCGGGAAAGTAGTTCGGCTTCCCGATGACGTTTGAGGTGTTTATAGGGAACTTTTACTATTTTTTACGGATACCGGTAGCAATTTTTTCGTAGTTTTATAGGAATCGTAACTATAGGGACCGTAATTATAGGGGGGTCGACTGTAATTCAATAACAAATAATTACTTCAATAAGGTGATGATAGATATTACATAAAAATAATATTTTAGAGGAGTGTTGTACCAAATTTTAATGTACACATCTAACAAGTAAGTTCCATGTCACTTAATTCCATGTTTGTAATAGTTAAGATAACCAAGACAAAACCTTTCTCACTTGTTTCTAGCCGTTTATAGATGAGTACGAACATTTTTGGCCTTCTTCAGGACACTGTGGTCTGTTAGTGTGTCGGTTGGTAGAAATTTAAACAGTGTCAATGTTTACATAGGTATTGTCTTACCCATAAAATAGTTCTAGCTCTAAATGCATAGAAGTGTAATAGTTAATTTAGTTAAGTAGTTCTGCCACTCTTATGAAGCTATTTTTTGGCTGTAAAAGTATGATATCTGTTTTGTTCCATCTTGCTCTTGCTTTTTTATTCTTCTTCAGTTTCTGCTAAGATCATATTCCTACTTCAATTGGCTAGATAATTTCAATGTTCTTTCAATTTACCTCTTAGAATTTGTAGGTATGCCCTATGTAGTATTTGGCAACATTCCAGTAATTTTTTCTTAAAGTAGAATCTTCTATATTCCACTTTTCAATATGCTAATTATTTGGCTTTCTCATTCCTAACAAGGCCATATTATATTATCAGGATCTAATCATGATAAGTCAAATCTGTCTCTCTTTGGAATATGACTAACACTTTTGGCATTTTGAGCTAGTCATCTAAATATTGCTTAAGGTTTTGCATTCCCTTTGTTAATATGTAAAATGTTCTGTGTTTGCTTTACTTGATTTTATGAAGCCCTGCAAGTGTTTTACATCCCTCTTCATATCCTCTCCAATAAATCTGCAAAAGAATGTAAATTCTTTATTGAATTATTGTAAATTTTACAAGATGTAAACAACTTCAAACTTTACTGCATCAAATTACTGTTAAGATAAAGTATACCCACCATCTGAATTAAGGTAGTGAGAGTCCTAAGATCAATAAACATCACTGATTGAGATTGAATTTGGCTTCAAATTAATTGTAGAAATTATTTTCTCACAGCCAGGAAAGTCTATAATTTCACGTAGAAACAGGTGAAAGACAAGTTGAGTAGTGAGGAAGAAATTTCATGATCAATTGAAATGTGAGATTGAGGAACTAAATTTGTAAAAACCAGAGTCCCATGGTCATGGAGCATTTTCTTTTGTCTAGTTATGAAAGAATCAGCTATGTTTTGTTCAGTTCTATCTGGTCTGTTGTATGCCATTTTTACTTTCCCAGCTGTTATATAACAGAGGGAAAGTATAGTGATAAGTCAAAAAATAACCTACCAATTTTTACATTGTTTTTGACTCAAGGGACCTCGAAATGCCAAGAAATGCAAAATAATTTGGAGGATTTTTTCTGTGTGTGTGTGTGTGTGTGTGTGCGCGCGCGCATATAAGGGGCATCATTTTGTTCACCCACTTTGAAGCTTAATAAGCTATTTTTATACTTAACTCTTATGTGTTTTGTCAAAAATTTTTGAAATTCAATAGGAAGGTTTGTGTATTAAGGTAATTGATGCTATTAAATTTTGTTGGTTAAAGGTCAACGGAATGGGAAGATAGAAAGGGTTGTCTGTCATATCTTGAATTTGGTAGAACTTAATCAAGATTTTATTATTAGCATTTACAGCTTTTTTTTTTTTTTATAAAACTTTTCTCTTCTTCTTCATCTTTGCCTTTTCCCATGTTCATATGAGGGTGACATTTCCTTCAATAATACATTTCCTCCATTTCTTATCAAGGGCTTCTCTCTTAAGTTCCCTCTGATTCAGGTCTTGCTCCACCTTATCTTTCCAAAGCAGCCTTGGTCTTCCTCTTTCCTTTTACTACAGTTTACCAACCCTCTTTTCAATATAATCTTCACTTGTATGCCCTATGAGGCCAAACCACCTCAACTTGCAATCTTGCATCTTCCTGCTCAAGGGACCCACCTTAAAGGAGCCTCTAATAAAATCATTCCTTATTCTATCCTTCTTTGACACTCCACACATCCATTTCAACATTCTCATATCTGCCATCTCAATCTTTCTCTCTTGGGTTCTCATAATTGCCCATGATTCTGCCCCATAAAACATTGCAGGTCTAACAACTGATTTGTACAATTTACCTTTCAGTTTGCAGCTAACTTTCTTGTCACATAACACATCACTCAACTTCCTCCAGTTCAGCCATCCACATTGAATTCTATGTTGCACTTTCAAGTCCATCCTCCCCGTCTTGAAAAGGCCCTGAGATACTTAAAACCAAAGAAGCGGCACATTTTGGATTTTAATATTGCACCTGCCATTCAGATTCATATAAGCTGTCTTAGTTCTGCTAATCTTCATGCCCCTTTCTTCCAAAACTTTTCTCCAATCTTCCAGTTTCTTATCAGCCTTAGTTTGGAAAGCACAATATCATGTGAAAACAGCATACTCCATGGAGCCTCATACTTCACATCATAAACTAACACATTCATTATCAGGTCAAACAGATAAGGGCTAAGAGACAATCCCTGATGTAAACAGACATTAATGGTGAACCCTTCTGTAGTGCCCACACTACTCCCTAACTTGAGTCTCCCACTCCCTCATACAGTTCCTTGATGAGCCTAACATATTTTTCTGGAACATTCTTTTCCTTCAAACATTTCCATATTTCTTGCCTTGGTACCCTATCATATGCCTTTTCTAGATCTATGAACACCATGTGCAAATCTTTCTGCATTTCCCTGTGCCCTTCCATCAGCTATTTCAAAGCAAAGATAGCATCGGTTGTACTCCTTCCCAGCAAAAGCTGAACTGTTCCTCTCCAATCTCAGATTCCTGTCTAATTCTTCTTTTGACGATTTTCTCCCAAATCTTCATAGTATGAGACACTATCTTTATACCACTGTATTTTCCACAATTTTGTACATCCCTTTTGCCTTTAATCTATCCCATGTTGAAATTTTTCTCTGTTGTGTGTGGCCGCCATGTTGAATTTTTGTTGATGTTAAACCTAACAAAATTTTTTTAAAATAATAATCGTGGCTAATCTAACATTAAAAATTATTATTTTTTTATTTTGCACAAACAATATCAAAGGTTACATTTACATGTTGTGGCATTACAAACGGTGTCTGTTTACAGTTTGGTTAAGTTCACAAGCACTTTCGATAACCTACAGTTTAATGGCACGATATACAAACAGACACAGGGAGTACCAATGGGATCCCCACTGTTGTCTGTGCTAGAGCGGTCTGGAGTGTATTCCATCCCATTGGAAAGTACAACATCTGGTACTCATACCCAGTATATCAGAGCGACATCCAGAATGTTGTCTTGCCGCATCTCTGAACACAAACAATCTATTAGTACAGGTAGATGCGACACTGAGTTGGCAAGATTGGCGTTGCAACACCAATACACTCCGAGGTGGGACCAGGTGGGGATACTCAAACAGTGTGATAGCAGAAACATCTTGTATATATGGGAGGCGCTGTTTACCAGCATGCTAAATCCATGCAACACCCCCAAGCTGGATGTGCCTTCCTTGTGGGTCAACTTATACAACAGATTAAAACAATGTCGCTAGCTCCACATTCTCGCAAAATAATCTATTGCTCATGTGCGTCGGCACCGAGCGCTCATCTTTTAAATTCTCCATTTTAGTTCTATTTCAATTTTATTCCAATGCTGGTTTGCCGTTGCTGTAATTTGAATTTGAAGGATATTAACTGTTCTTTTAACCTGAAGAAGACAAAAATAGTTTCATTGAAAGCGCTTGTTGTTTGTAGCGATAGATGTTGGTTATCAATGCCTAGATGATAATTTTCTCAACTTTGCTTATCCAATATTCGGCATGAAGTCCAATAATATTTTTTCACTTTTAACGTACAAGATGAATTCTGGACAACGGGTATCCTTCTTTAACTTATTAAAGGTTAAAAAGCAGTGGCATAAGTTACATGCCCAGCTAGTATTCTTACTAAAGTGCAGAGGACATGGCATAGTCCTGAAGTGCATCACCATCAACTGAAAAGCATTTTCTTTGTGCCTACGAGCTACCTTACAGAATGTGGACAAATTGCTTCTTTCGAAATCGAAAGTGCTTGTGAACTTATCCAAACTCTAAACAGACACCGTTCGTAACGCCACAACACGTAAGTGTAATCTTTGATATTGAAAAAGTCGGCGTGAAGTGATTATTACATTTGATTTGCACAAACAAAACAAATATATTGAAAAATATAAAAACAAAAAAAAATTATATTTTAAAAGTTTGTTTTAATATAAAAATTATGACACATAGCGACATCTAGTATCAAAAACGTTCTGACACAGAAACGAGTATATTTGGGATAAATGGGTCAGGTCAACTGAGGTCAACACAAAAATACTCAGGAACAACACGGGATAGGTTAAAGACTGGAACAAGAATACTCTTC